AAATATTTATTTTGTTGATGTGTGAAGTTTCATTCCATTCGATTTAACAGAAATTAATTTACTTAATTTAAAAAAAAACATGATTGGTAACCCCGGAGCTACATAATAACGTCAAAACACATTGCGTCATGGTGTTTTTTTTTTTTTAACCCCTTTACATTTCGCACAGTTTGGTCCAAAGCCAATTATTAAAAACGTTTCTCTATCAAATTTGATTTATTTAGCTAACAATCGTACCAGTAGCATAATTTAATTTTGTATGTCCATGTAGCATAATTTAATTTTGTATGTCCATGTTTTATTTTTTTACTCTCAAGAAATATTTAAAAAAAACACACATTTTTTCATACAGGTATAAAAAATATTTATTTTGTTGATGTGTGAAGTTTCATTCCATTCGATTTAACAGAAATTAATTTACTTAATTTAAAAAAAAAACCATGATTGGTAACCCCGGAGCTACATAATAACGTCAAAACACATTGCGTCATCGTGTTTTTTTTAAAACCCCTTTACATTTCACACAGTTTGGTCCAATAGCCAATTATTAAAAACGTTTCTCTATCAAATTTGATTTATTTTGCTAACAATCGTACCAGTAGCATAATTTAATTTTGTATGTCCATGTTTTATTTTTTTTTAATTTTACCGCGTAACTGTGCATTTACAAGATCAGCAACTGTGAAGAGCCTTTTTCTTTCCATGACCTACAAAGTTTCTGTTCAGATTTTTACAGATAATCCTTTTTCTCACAGACCGCCCTTGTCTGATACAGAGTATTAATCATTCGAATACAGCTTCTATCATTTATACACATATGCACAAATCGCTTTTGACATTTGCTCCCTACAATATTTTCCGAGTTTATTCTGAAGATTTCCAGAGTACAACACAAAATTTTGTTATACCTTTAAAAATTGGTTACAACACAAAATTTTGTTACACCTTTAAAAATTGGTTTCTAAATAAATCTATACACATTCTCAATGTTGTACAGAGCGGTCATAAAAAAATCGATGTTTGGCCGCGGAGTAAGATACCTGTCGATGAGAAATTGGACCGCTTACGACAAAATTGTGGGCGGGATCAGCTAAATCTCATTTGCATTCGTTGGTGTTCGACAGTGACGAGATTAACCAATTTTAACCCCAGTGGTTTAAGTAAATTTACATCATGGAATCTGGCACAAGATACAAAGGTATAACAAAACATTTATTGACTATGTTCTGTACTCGGGCAAAATGCGTTTTAATTGTCGACCCATCGATCGGTTAGATAAAGGCCTCAGACAAACAGTTTGGTTTTTGGGTCCGACAATATACGTACAAATGAAAGATTAATTTATACAATTTTAAAACGAGAGAGAGAGAGAGAGAGAGGGGGGGGAGGGAGAGATGCGTAACGCATATTTAATAGTACGTTTATTATGAGTATTCGATTATTCTAATTCAAGCAAGAGTTTGATTTTTAAAAGCTAGACTATTTTTATGCGAATTCCTTGGTTTGTTTTTAAGATTGCATTAAAACTTTTAGCACTATTTTATAGAATGTCAGATTCCCTATAAAATTTTATGAGAAAGCATTAAAGATATTTTTGAAAAGTATTTGAATTTTTAATTAACAGATAACATTGAAAGGACAAATTCCCCAGCCCATCCTTTCCAACGAGTCGTTGCGTCATTCACGAATTTATCTAAACAAAATGTGTTTAAAACGTTTCTATCGTCATCTGAAAAAGTTTCCAAAAAAAAAAAAAAAAAAAAGAAAAAGTACTATAATTCGATTAATAATTTTATATGTCACCGGATGGTCCTTCTCAAATGCACGAATAAAGAATCACCCATCCCCCACCCCCTTTACAAGCTGGTACGTTGTAGAGATGCAGTACTTCTCTTGGATAGTTGGCATAGGCAACTTTCTATCGCATTTTCTTTAGCAACTTATTGAGGTTTTTTTTTATTACCAATTTAGTATAGCTTTTCAAAAAAAAAGTATAAATAAATAAATAAATAAATAAATAAATAAATAAATAAATAAATAAATAAATAAATAAATAAATGAACAAATAATAAAAGAAAGATAAATGAATAAATAAAATAAATATAAACATGTATAAACATTTACTTTCTTTGAAGAACACTTTAACGATCTTTTTTTAAATACGTACATATAATTATAGATAAATACTGTTGCTTGAAATTTCTCTCAATATCTATCTTTAAGTAAGTATTTTAAGCCATCGATACCAAACCTATGGAGAGAAAGGTCATTTTATGCCTGCTTTTCAATCCATTTCAGGTAGAGCGCTCGCTCTGATCGGAAGGTCGTGTGTTCGAATCACGTATGCGACCGACCTAACTCGATTAAAATAGATAGCAACTGTTCCTTCGTCAAGCGCTCGCACTTTTAAATGAAAGTTGCGGGTCTTTCGGATGAGACCTTAAAAACCGAGGCCCCGTGTCTCTGTAGGTTCAAACTTTTTTTCACAACTTTTTTTTTCACAACCAATTTTTCCCCCAATACCTATATTCCTAAATTTTACCTATGCTACAGCAAACAGAGGGGGGGGGGGGGGGCAGTCTTTCAATGAACATTTTCAAAGTTTGGAGAAAAGTGGGAAGAAGCCCTGCGTCCCTGATTCTTCGTGCCTGATAAATAACTTGTTTTCAGACTTCTCCACACTGACAGATAATTTTGTTCCACAGTATATACTTATATTAAATTGTGTGATACACATACACTGCCTTTAGGGGTAGAAAGAATTAAGTGACAGGTAACCTTGCTGAAAAGTGAACCCCTCATCCGATACAGCTTTTTTATAATTTTTTTTTTGTCCGAAATTCTTTTTTGACCTTTCTGTCGCTTTCTCATTCCAGTCTCCTTTTAACTTCACTGGATCCTCGACAGATAAGAAATTACAACTCTGGTATATGTGGAATGATCTTAAGTAGAATATAATAAGTAGAATAAAAATAAATGTTACTAGGTGAAATATATGAGCCTTTGTTTTTATATGCATAATATTATCGACAATGTCTATAATATATTGAAACATCAACCGTGCACTTGTATAAATGACTGAAAATAGAAGACTTCAGAATATTAATTAATCGGATCAGTCGTGACCGACGGCATCCAAAAGATTGGGAATTTATAACCCCCCCCCTCCAAAAAAAATGTGTTGCAAGCTAGGGGACCTATTGTGACGTCATCTTTTAGTTTATTGCGTAATTTATTTACATATTACATGCAGACGTCAACTAAGCCGTTTCAGTAGCAAAATAAAATAAAGGCTAGGATTTAAGCATTTTCTCTTCTGCAATAATACTTTTAGTGATTTCATTTGTCAGCTAAACATTTTTATTGCTTTAGTATATTAAATTGATCTCTTCCCTTCTTGCTGGCATTATTTATCAAGTGTAAGGCTTATTTGTATAAAATTATATCGCAATTTGTCATTTCTATAGAACATTTTTTTTTTTAGTTTTTATACTATTTTCATGACAAATATATTTGTATGAGCAATATAAATATGGACAATCAATGATAAATTTATTATTTTGCATTATTACATTATTATTTTGCATAATAAATACACCATTATTATTACTCCTAGATAAGAATTCGCCTCTCGACTAACTTTGTATCCGCCACCGGAAATAGTCATGAAATGTCTAAATTAACATACTGCACATTCCCCATTCTTACCATTATTTTTGCTTGTCTGATATCAAATTATTTTCAAATATATATGTTTTATTTTGCTCGAGGGGTGTGCACTACCTCAATTTTGGGAATTTGTTGTAAAAATAGTGGAAAAAATAGCAATTTCCGGAAAGAATGGATTTTTTAAATCCTGTGAATACCTCTAATCAACGTACTTGCGAAATTTTGTTATGCATATTTCAAAACTACCAGTCTTCTTCTACATGTACATAGTAGTTATATTTTTGCAAACGTGTATATCAAAATACAAAAAATTGTGGGCCTTCGAATAATACAAAACGTATTTACTTCTTTGTTGTAATTTATGATGCCATTTCTAAGGGAATGTAGTATAATATTTATATCTATTAATTCTACGGCCTATGTGTGAACGAGTTTAAACATTAAAGCCTCTTTTTCGTTGTCAGAGATGCCCATTGTCACAATCAAAGTGGTCTGGATGCGTATTATTCTGGAGCCAAGCGGCAATATCAACGATAGGAAGTATAAATGGTTTCTTTTTCACCAAATGGATGTAAAGTTATATCCTCAACCGATTCCGTTGTCGCACTCACCCAAACCGGGCGTATCAAATACTCGTTAAAATGGCGTGTAAGACACATCGGGAATAAAAGAAACAATCAAAAAGAACTCCGATTGTGGACATATTTGAAGAAAAATGTCAATACTTTTAAGATAAGTCCCGCCGACGTTTAAAGAGTAATTCTTCGTTAGTCTCTGAACTGTGTAGTTACGTCTTTTTTGATGCTCAGACCCTTCTTTAGATGGAGAGAAGTGAAACAAAGAGCATGAATCACTTTGTGATAATCCATGTGGTCTTAAACGTTACCCAGAATCCGACCAAGAGCCAGAAAAACGAAACAAAACCATAAAACGAAAACAAAATGATAAAGTATTCCAATTATAATTGATTCGAGGATTATAGGAAGTTTCAAGTGCCTTCTCCCCGCCATCAAAGACATCTGCATTGATTTTTAAAGGCGGTGAAATATCTATGTCATTCTCTTCAATTTTGCAGAATTATCAGACTAGGAAGGACCCCCTAGAATTAGTCAAGTATTTTGATATAAAGTGGAGAGTTTTAGTAGGTTAACAGAAGTATAATTTAATAACCAAAAAAAATAATTGTAACATTAATGATAAATATAAGACATCAAATATCAGAAATTTTTTTTTATTCTATATGCTAAGTTAAAAACCACATTCATCCTAAAATCATCAACCTTTTGACCAAAGAAAAACTTTTGGTTTTCCTTGTCCTACATCATATCGGTTCATTGAACACATTGGTTAGTTGGTCTCCTCGTTCTACTGTCTTCAATTTTACCTTTCTCATCTCGGTGAATGTAAGGTTCACTTTTAGACATATGTGAATTGACAGAGTTTCCTATGGAATAAAGATTGAAATCGGGTCCACATATGGAGGAAAACTGCTCGAGGCTGCTGAAAGAGGTCTCTGTAGGTTGGTCATCCGGTGATTCCGCTTGTATCTGTTTCTTTATTTCCCTACATATTAACCGTGGTATCTTCTCAGAGCTGTTGCGGTTATCTAAAAGGTAATTTATAAAATTTCAACCCGGTAAGCATAAGCATAGTTATTGTACTGATACAGAAATACAGCAAGATAAGCGTACAGCAATTCCATTTATTGTGAATACCTATTCATAACAGAGTTATGTTTTACCAGTAGATATACATGTACTTAATAAGATATTAATGTAAATTATTTCATGCAACGAATTATGGTTATAAGAAACAATTAAGATGTTGCTGTCCATTAAAAATAAGTGCTTTTAATGCAAAAGCAAGTTCTTATGCTTTCTAGTTGCTAATTTTGATATTTAATGTTAAAAGTACAAATTTTAAAGAAAAATGGGGCTTAAGGGTTTTTCTGGTCCTCTGTTTTCGATTTTATTTAGAACAATTGAGGTGTTTATAATTAAACACCTATGATGATGCCAATTTCAATAAAAGAACTGATTTTATAACAAAATCATCTTATAACATACGTAGAGGGTACAAAATTGTTTAATTTCCAAACTTTCGTACTTTTAATTGATTTTTAAACAATTTTGCTTAAAAAATGTATTATACAAAAAATTTTGACCAATACCATACCTAGTCTTTTAAAAAGTTAAAATATCTATGCCTTTGATATACTTATACCTTTGTAAAATATAATTTTATATTTTTTCGAGCACTCAGGATCCTTCTGTAAAATGTCCTTTATTGTTAGGTAGAACCTCATGGCTTGAATATACTTTTCTCTTGTCTGTAGGCCTGTTTTAGCATTATGTTCCATTTCATACATAGTATGAATAACTGTTACATATTCACCGACGAAGTAATATTCCTATATATAAATGCATATTTTAAACAAAGGATCTATTTATAATTCTTTTTAATTAAAAAAAATAATGAATATCTATTTTGTTCTAAAATTAATGTGGTGTACAGCAAGGATGTATATCAAGGCAAAAATGAGTCACTCTTTTATCGTATGAAAGTTTCGTAAAATGTAATCAAATCTTTTCTGAGATATCGATGAAGGAAAATATAATAACAAAAATCATGTTAAATAAAACAGAGAGAGAGAGAGAGAGAGAGAGAGAGAGAGAGAGAGAGAGAGAGAGAGAGAGAAAACAGTGCATAACAAACCAACAAATACATACTTGGTAAAATGATTTTGAGGTATCTGAAATAATATCCCCAGGCAAAATCATGCGCCAGATTCCCCACAGGTAAAAGGGACTCCCAGGTGTAATGTGCTTCTGTTGACAAAAGCGACAACAGAACTGATTTGGACTGTAAAGTCTCTCGCTCTATGATTTTTTTTCTGGTTAGGTGCATGTAGAAGTTATTTTATTTTTTCCCATGATATGTGCATGTAATAAGAATTTTATCTGTGGTATATGTTTCTCAACGTTTGACCATTCACTACCCACAGTTATAAATGACCACAGCGCTGTATAATAATGTGAGATCACTATATTGGGGTTTGCACTTTCGTTGTTTTCTTGGTATAAAGAGACAAACGAATTCATGTCCCCAACAAAAAAGTTGCAATTTCATAAACAGTAAGATGTTCTTCAACCACGAAATCAAATCTCCTCAAACCAAAATTTTTTTCTTCAAACCACAAAAATAAGTAATTTTACAATGTTAATTTTCATTCTTGTTATACAGCGAAAACTATCGAATTTCTTTTAAGATTTATTTCAGATTTCCAAGAAGAGATTATGTTTGAAATCATTAATTTGATTAAAAATCTAGTGCATGTAACTTAATTTTTATTTATTGAATGTTATTTCCATGATTATAATAACATATAGTAAATACAATCCCAGATAGCATGACTATGTTGGGCCAACATAGGCCCAACAATGCTCGTTACGTCGGGCCAACGTTGGCAAACAATGTTGGCCCAACGTTATTTTGCTCATCGGTTCTGCGTAGGCCCAACGTGTAGGGCCTACACTGGCCCAACATGTTGGGCCTGCATTGGCCCAACAATGCTAGATTACGTCGTACCAACGTTTGTAAACAATGTTGGCCCAACGTTATTTTGCTCAGCGGTTCTACGTAGGCCCAACGTGTAGGGCCTGCATTGGCCCAACAATGCTAGATTACGTCGGGCCAATGTTGGTAAAAGACGTTAAATTGGCCCAACGTTATTTTGCTCATCAGTTCTACGTAGGCCCAGCTGAAGGTCCTACATAGGTCCAACGTGTAGAACCCATCGGCTCAATGTTGGCAAACAATGGACATGTACGTTAAACGTTGACCCATATATTTCCCCTTTGGTCAAACAATAATTCACTATTTACTGTTACAATTTTACTTTATCATGAAAAATAGGTGTTTAAAAGATAAGTAATAAAACATTAATTGAAAAAAAATCTCTTTTATTTTTTATTGTACTTAGTTCTCTTTTTTTTGGTGAAATGGTACATTTTAAAATTTGCGCCAAATTTTTTAAAAGATAAATGCCTAAAAAAAACAATTAAAGAATGGAAAATGTTCATATTCTTTTAGTGGTTAGGAACCAAAGTCATTTTAGCGACACACATCTAAGCATGCTCAGGTTCACTTTCTGTTTGATCATCTTGAGTGTTTTGGTTGGCTATCTGCTGCCTCCTTTTTTCGGCCCTTTTCTTTCGCCCGCCGTCCCTGTCGCTCGCAAAACGGAACCAGTCTTTAGCTATAGTGAATATCTCTGTGTCAGTGGTGTTGGAGCACAAGCGATTCTTCCTTACTGTTTCTAAATAAATAAATAAATAAATAAGAATAATGTATTTATTTCTCAAAGAATGTCCATGGAAGACCTCTCTCTCTCTCTCTCTCAATACATACCTTTTAATATTTCCTTTAATTTTAAGGAAGAGAAAGGAATTTTCCCTCCCTTTCCCATCCAGTTTATCTTAATCGCCAGTGGGTTTGATATCATGTGAGACAGGAGTCTCCTGATTGTTGTTTTGGCATTTTCCCCTCCAATTGTTGATAACGATTTCACCTGTATAATTTAAGATAAAAAAAATGAATGCATATAATAAATGGCACCTCATGTACATGTAGCAATTATATATATATATATATATATATATATATATAGAGAGAGAGAGAGAGAGAGAGAGAGAGAGAGAGAGAGACATTTAAACCTACCAAAGTTTTACATTTGTCCTTATCCTGCAGTGTGTCTTCTAGCTTATCGATATCTTCTTGTGATTTAAGAGGAAAGCACACGTCTAATTCCGTGTCAAGCTCATTTCCACCGGATATTGGGAGGCCTCCAAGTCCATCAACCTTTGAGATTGTTGCCTGTAACAGCTGCGTGTTTAGGTGCATCTGTACTTTCAATTCCTCAACGTTGGTCATGATTTTTTCCAAGCAGTTTACAATTTTCTTTTCTGATGCTAAAAACAAGGTTAGAGTTTAAAACAGACAATAAATAAGTTTGCAATATTTATGTGAGATAACATTTAAAAAAAATAAATTGGCACTGAATCATTTTAAATACATACCTGAAGTGGAGGGGCCTTTATCAAATAACGATGCTGTACAATTGGTTGGTGCTTTAGTTTTTGTTGGTTTTGAAGACGAGGGCTGACATGGGGGAGCTGGAAGGCTTGGCAGATTTGGTGGGGGCAATTTTCCTTTGAATCTTTCGAGGAGATTTTCTAATCTGTTGTCGGTGGTGTTCCTCATCTTGTTGTTTATCACACTCAACTTCTTCTGAATCTGAAGACTCAAAACGGCTTGGTCTAGGAACACAATACCAATGTATTGTTAGAATAATCTTAACATAACTTTGAATGGTAATACAAAACATGACTAAGTTGATATAATACAAACTTTTTGGTCTTCCTGGAACCAATATCCTCGTTCTCTTCAGCATCAGTTTGCAAGTCTGATGTATATGTTGCTTTTGACAGTTTTTTCCGTGCATCGTTGTACTCCGCTGCATAAAGAAATATACATGTATTCACTAGACCAAAATCTCTAATACAATGTTGATTATACAGTAATATGTACTGAATATATATACTCAAGTTTACTATATAATTATATTTTGATTGCTGATAGACTTACTTGTTTTTGCCAGTACCCTGACTGGAAGAGGTCTAAATTCTGCATTCGGGGCAATATTTGCCTTCACTGCCTTTCTTATTTTGGCTGTCATTCTAAAGGTTGGCCACTGGCACATAGTTTCATTTTCAGCTAACCACCTCATAGGAACCACATCAACTTCCTTTTCTTCTGTAAATTCCACCACTGCATATCCATTAGTTGTCAATGACCTTATTAATGATTTGATTTAAATTAAGTTTTAAAACAAAAAACAAAAACAAGATACCAAAAAAAAAAAAACCAAAACCATAAAAGTATTATTTTTGCTGACTATTCACTCCAATTGTAAGGTGTTTTTTAACCTACCAATCAGCATCTGTAAATGAAATCGCAATATATTTGTTCTTGAATGGCAGAATGACACATTTGGATTCTACGTCATTCAATTCGGAAAAATGAAAAGTGTTTCCTAAATTCGAAACTTTTAAAATTCCCAGTAATTTGGATTCTAACGGACATACGAATGCGTTTTCTGATGTTCCAAAGACCTGATGAACAAGAAAAATTTTACCTTCATGCAAAATAATGTTTTTGATTAGGCATATTTTTCCATCGATTCGTACACAGCTATCTTTGAAATTTGTTTTAAATACATATCTCACTGTCTCTACTTTCTGATACTGACAACCATGCACAAGTCTTTCATGAACAGGTCCACTGCTATGGGGTTTACTTAAATGTGGATAAGTTTTTTGTTCCTTTTGCAAATCCGTTTGTTCTGACAATCTGCGAATAATTTGTGCCAAAGGAAAAGTTGGCTTCCTCACCATTTTTTTTAACTTCGAAAGAAAGTTTTCAAATGGAAATGCAGAAATGTTGTCTAAACTACCAAAAGTTCGGGCTTCATCAGCAAGATGAACCAAACAATGGACATTGTAAACAGCCATTTCATCGCCATAAACCTGATAAAAATGTGTGACAAAAGTTCGTAGGAGATCGTGTGCATATTGATTGTATTCATTTGATAGCCTCTCATTAAGTAGAATATGTATCCCCACACTAAAAAGAAGAAAATTATGATAAATGTTTGGATGAACAGCATCATATAAAGCTACAACTCCAGTGTATAGCAAAAACTGTCGGAACTCTGTTGCCTTCCATCTTTCTATTTCTGCTAATGGCCGAGGCTTTCTTGCGAATTCAGATGGTATGCAATGCTTAAGTGCCACTAAAGACTCAGATATTTGCTGCACTTCATGCGATCCTAGTCTACAATGCAATGGACCTTTAATCCACAGTAAAAGGAGGCGTTTCATGACTCCAAGACAAACCAAATGCATATAATCCAAGGGGATTTGTGTAACCATGCGTATACTTGTTCTGGAGAGAGGGGAATCACCTAAATGATGGTCATCGTCATATTGTTGAGAAAAGGATTGATCTGTTCTTAAAGGAGCGTTTATCTCAGGAAATGTCATCTTACCCATCCACCTGCCGCGTTGAGTACATTTTTCACAACCGTGATAACCAGAATAAGACTTCACATTTTTAATGAATGCCCTGGCTGGTGCATCACATATGATTGAATCGATCGTAACATTTAACTGTTTTCCTGAGAATTCAATTCCATTTCTTTCAATTTCCATATATTCAGTTATAAAGTCATATAAATATTCTTCAAGATTGTTAGGTTTTTTGGTTCCATAGAATAGACAAATAATGAAAATTTTATTGTTGCCTTCGATGTTTTGAATTTGTCCAAGTATTGGCCAAAATTGGTCAGAGGTGCTCTTGAAGAGAGGTAAACCATCAATATTTATTTGCAGTTTCAGTGAAAATTGATCTGGTATCACATTTGTACTTTGGTTAAGTACATGGCAAAGGGATGACGCAATGCCAAAGTAATAGTACTCTCCCCCACATTTAGTTTGAATGGTATAATTCATTTTCGTTTTAAGTAATGTTCGAGGATCTTTTGGCAAATCAGGATGGAAATGGCGTAAAATTTTTAAAAGATCAGACAAAGAAACATTTGGAATCTGATGTTTAACAGCCCAATCTCGTAAATAATTTTTCAAAGCCTCATCTGACTCATTATCACTCTCTCTATCAGCATTTGAGTCAGAAGAGTCACTCCATACATGTCTCAATCCACAGTGCATCTCAAACTCATTGCTATTTTCTGCTTGTGCATGACAAATATCACTTTCTTCAATGTCTGTAGACCTTCTACTTAAGACTGATTCTTCATCTGAGATTATTTGCTCTACTTCAGAACTACATGGTTCGTCAATATTACTATCAGCTGAAACTGCAGGGCCTATCTGCAATGAACAACTATTTTGTTCAAATGTTTCTTCATCTTCACTTTCTAAGACATTTTGAGCTAATGTTCTACGAACACGTCTTCTAATTGACCAGTATGACGTGCCCTTTCCCCTTAGGTACTCATTCATTTTAATAGTGAAAGGGAATAGTCAGCAAAATAATTTTCAAAAACCCAACAATATCTAAATTAATTTAAAGATGACTTTTTAAGGATATGGATATGCAATGGCATCCACAAAAATAAATTTTACCTGCAACGAAAAGATCTTTTTTAAATTTGTTACCTTTTTTGATTCATTTTTATATCAATTTAATTCTACAATAATTTACCCAAAATTTATTTTGTTTTCATTTAGTACATTAAGAGAAATTGAAATAAAAATTTTTATATTCCCAAAGTCTAGATAGACTACCCAACTTTAACACTAAACTGTTCCATATCTAAGTTCAAATGGTAATTTATAACAACTTAACGATATTTTATGCTGTCTAGTTAAGATATTTTAAGGTATGTCACTCGTCAGCTTTTTAGAAAAGTTCAGTCAGAACCTGTTACTTCAAAACTATTTATAACACTTCAATTTTTATAACATATTGAAATTAAACAATGCAAATTATTCAACATTCAATTAAAAAACTCGCAAATTCATAAAGAAGCAAAATTTATGAAGGACGACAGAGCGCTCATAGCCCAGCTGTTTTTAAGGGATTCATTAAAGGAGAATGCATTAGAAATGCAAAAAATACTACTGACCCTACAATATTACATGCAACACTTATATGACTTCAGGACGCACTTATCAAAGCGAGGTTACTCTATCTCAGAAATTGATCGTACCATCAAAGAAACGATCAACACAAACCGATCAAAAGCACTAAAGAACAGCTATTACGTAACCCTACAGTCTTGGTTACTAAATTTAACCCTTGCATTAAAGGACTGAAAAAACGAATTCTGAAATATTGGAATATCAATCTTAGAAATCCAGAATGCAAAACTTTATTTAATTCTCAACCAATCATCACTTACAGCAAACACAAGAACATAGGCGACGAGATAATCAGGACTCACTTAAAATAAACATCGTATTATGTGTCTGTGACTCCTGATGAAGCTACTTAGCCGAAACACTCTACAACTACTTGCATAATACAAATTAATCTGCGCTTTGCAAAAACATATCTACTACCCGGTATAAATTTATGTGGTTTAGAGTGTAGGGTCCTAATAATTAAATCTCATACAAGTCTGGTTGATTGATGTCGCTAATTTTCACATTTTAAAGTAACAGTATTTCAATTATTTAATGCTTTACGTTACACTAACAAAAATTTGAACTATCAGAAATAAAAAGTGAATTTCAAACTTTCTGAACAAATTGTAAGACAGAAAAATCATCAAGTTTGTTAAGAAGAATCATAAATAAACAAACAATACATAAATTAATACTTACATGATTGTTGAATTGGTAAAATTCCACAAAAAAATGGCCAACAAGCTTCTACTTTTCAAAGTTCTTTGTCTCGATCTAACAGGCGGGAAAATGCTGTGATCGAAGCAGCGATGGAGGGTCTTTGTCTTTAATTTGACCATCCTAATTCCTGTATCAAATATCACGCTTTTCTCCACAAACTGACCAGTCTCCCGCTGTTTATCTCATTGCCTAATTGCATTCTGCTGAAAGTGTTCTCTTATCTTTAACTTGATGCCCAGATTATTGACACACACAGACGAGGGTACAGGATAAAAATCAACATATTATATTTATATTTTTTTTAATTTACTTTACTTTACATTTTGCATTCAGATTGTTTGGTTGAGAAATATAATTAACATGCTTTTTCATTTGTGAAGAAAACACACACCATAATTTTCTAAATGTATTAAATTTAATTATCAATAAGAATTGTTTCTTATCATTCAAATGTCAAATAATTATTTGACAAGTTAATATGTTAGTCCATAGCCAGTATTAATTTAAAAATCTCTTAGAGAAGTGATTGCAAACACACGTTTTGCATGTTTCCTTCCAGTCATTATCAATATATCTTATGATTTTTGTTGGGCCAACATTGGGCCTGTATAGAACTCACATTTGAATAGTCTTAAAGATTTTACGTTGGGCCAACATTAGGCTAACGTAGAATACCCTAGGAATTTTGACTGATTTTATATTGGTTGATATATACATATATACATAACGGAATTAGTTGATGTTGGACCAACGTTGGGCCAACGTAAGAATCCCTTGGTTGTGGTGCTCTTTTCAATTAGGCCTAGGGTAAAACAAACAATGGGCTAGCATTGGGCCAACGTAACGCTCCCAACTCATGCATATCGTCCTTTCGTTTGGGCAAACGTTGCACCAACATACTCACACTAACTAAAAGAAAACTTAAACAGACAGTCAAGCTTACATTGAGCCAACGTTGGGCCAACATACTGTTACCAGATTAAATTATCAGTTGCATTACAAACGTTAGGCCAACAATGGGCCAACTTTGAACCCCCAACGTCCTTAAAATATGTTGGTTAATCTATGTTGGGCCAACATTGGACCTATTTAAATTTCCCAACAGTATTCCAACTGGTATTGTGTTGGTTGATCTACGTTGGGCCAACGTAAACCCAACGTAGAAAACCCAACTTCATTCTGACTAGGTTTTAAATTAATTATTTCATGTTGGGCCAACATTGGGCCAACGTAGAATTCTTGATGTCATTTTTACCTTCGGTTAACATCGGTTTACCTATGTTTGGCCAACATTGTATCATTGTTATATACCAAACTCAATATTATAAAATTTCTAACTCAATAAGTCTAACGTTGGGCCATTAATGGCCCAACGTTGTACACCCAACGCCAACCATCTGCCTACAACCCAACCACTTGCCAACGTTGGCCCAACATAGTCATGCTATCTGGGAACTTACTTTTAATGGCCTGGATGATATCATGAACATTCTCGAAATTTTCTCGGAGTTCTACACAAGTAAGAAGTCGGAGTGTAGGTGGGAGACATCCTAGCTTGACCCCGCCTAGCAGTACCGGAACCAGACAAACGCTGTTCCGGATATGGGAATCGTCCACAGCAATCAGCATCTCAAAGTTGCTCCACTCGCTTTGTAATGACGACGGGGAAATCACCAGAATCACATGGCGGGAACTGAAAGAATATGTTTAAATAAAAGGCTCATGGGAAACAATGCTCACCTGCATCACCTCGGCCAAGCTGTTCTTCAGAGGAAGATTTTCAAAAGATTTGTCTCTCTCTTTATTCCAATGAAAAATGGAGACTCCGTATTTTGGCCCCTACTAGCCTTAAGGGATTATTATTTAACCAGCTTGAATCCACACAACATTGGGAGGGGATGTTTTGATATCAATATGACTAACATGGCCTTAATTGCTGTCTTGTAGAAGATTTTTTCAAAAAGATTTTTTATGTACATTAGCATTATGTAAAATCTGATCTCCAATTTTACCCCCATCTTAACCAGGGTCCATAATTTGAATTTAAAAATAAATGAATCAATAGAATTTATACAATGTTTGCAAATTGATGCAATGTACTTGCTACTGCCTTGCTACTTTGTTCCTATATATTTTCTTGTAAAACTCTGATTCCCTGTTGTGGCCCATCTTGGGGGGGGGGGATAATCTACATTACCTGAGGATGCTTGCACATTACGACTAATCATGGCTTTGTTGTATTTCATTTTTTCAATTTTTTTTTATATAATACCATGTAAAACTTTGATCTCCTATTTGTGGCTCTACCCAACCCAGGTGGGTATGATTTGATCAAAGTTATATCTACAATACCTGAGAATGCTTCCATATGAATAATCTTGCCCATTGTTGTTCTTAAGAAAAAGAGTTTCAAATACACATGTATTACCATGTTAAACGTTGTTCTCCCATTGTCGCCGCATCCTACTCTTGAGGGCCATGATTTGAACAAATCTGAATCTACACTACCTGAAAATGCTTCCATATAAATATGAGAAATCATGACCCAGCTGTTTTTCAGAAGAATGATTTTAAACTTCAAAAGAATCATTTTAAATTCCTATTCAAACCTATGATCCCTTACTGTGGTCCCACCATACCACAGGGACCCGGATTTGAATATCTTTTCTGGTTCAGTGATTCTTGAGAAGAAGTTTTTTAAATTTGATACATTATTTTCTCCAGTTCTTAATTATCTACCCTTGATCATGAATGAATCCCCTACACCCAAGAATGTTTTGTGGCAAGTTTGGTTGAAATTGGCCCAGTCATTCTTGGGAAGTTGAAAACGTTAAAAGTTTACAGATGGACGGACAGACAGACAGACCGACAAAATGTCATCAGAAAAGCTCTTATGCGCCTTCAGCAAAAAGTGTTGCAATATACACCAAACAGGTATTTGCTACCTCTTCTTACTTGAAAATATCTTTTGCAAATAACATTAACAATTTATCTGTTTTTACTCATTCAATAAAAGGGGCTATCTCTTTGGCAATGAACAAAACAAGTAGGATTTCAATTTACTTTAATTGAAAAACTATATGTAATTTTAACCTTAAATCAAAAAAATGTTTTGCGTTTTAGAATACAGAATTTGTTTTCTATTGATACCATTTTCTGTTCTCCAATTATCAACTTGAATGTTGATCTACATAATTATAATTCACTGCCTTCTTATTGTATGCAATGTGCTTTTTACATGCATTTTTAGGCTGTGACTTGAATTCTCAGGAAAGAATCGAGTTGTCCCCCTCCCCCTTTACTCCTTTTCATGACTCTAATCCACATTTAATGAAACAAGCAAATTCACAGAATGGTGGTCCCCCGCTTTTCGCTTTAGTGTATGGGATGCATTTTGTGGCATATTGTAACTGTCTTCGGCCAAAGTTATTTTTTTATAAGAAAGTCAAACTTCTAGGTCAAGGTCATGAGTAAAAAAATGATGTAACTTTCTGAAAGGTGTTGTCATATGTAATTTACATATAAAATGTGAAAGCCCCATCTTCTCTTCAAAAGTTATAACTAATGTAAAAAATAAATAGTGTAGGATAAACTTTAAGGTCAAGTTCACGGCGTCAAAAACTATAGTACATTTAGCAAAGTCTTGAAACAGGTGATGCACCTGTCAAATATAAATGCCCTATCTTCTCTCATTAAAAAAAATATCAGCAATGTTAATTATCAGCAATGTTAAAAGTTTGAAAATTAGGTCAAACTTCAAGGTCAATGTCAAGAGTTAAAAATCATAGTACATTTGAATCTGAATGCCTTATCTTTTCAATCCTTTATAAGTTATCAGTAATGCTAAAATGTTGGAAAATTAGGTCAAACTTCAAGGTCAAAGTCACTGGGTCAAATATCATACCACAATCGGAAACTTCTTGTCAAATGTAATGCTCTTGTCAAATATGAAAGTCCTAACTTCTCTCATTCAAAAGTTATTAAGAATGTAAATTTTAAAAAAAAAAATGGTCAAACTTTAAGGTCAAGGTCTCAGGGTAAAATATTATAGCACGTTCGGAAATATCTTGTCACAGGTAATGCAAATGTCAAATATAAATGTCCTATCTTCTCTCATTTAAATGTTATATTCAATGTTAAATTTTGAAAAGTAGGTCAAACCTCAAGGTCACGGGGTAAAAAATCATAGTATATTTGGAAAGTCTTATCAAAGGTAATGTACATATGAAAGATGAAAGCCATATCTCTTCTTGTTCAATAGTAATGATCATGGTAAAAGTAAAGTTAAAATTTTATAAAAGTAGGCCAAACGTCAAAGTCAAGGGATCAAAAGTCATGATATATTCGGAAAGGTCTTGTCACAGGTAATAGACATGTGAAATGAAAGTTCTATGATCTTTTTTCATTCAAAGCTTATGAACATACTTGGGGTAATGCTAAATGTAATGGTAATGCATTGCAATGCATTACCTGAACTTAAAGTAATGCTAGTAATGTGTAATGTCAAAAAATTTGCATTACATGTAATGGCAATGTAATGCATTACTTTCGCAGGTAGGTTAAGGCTTCCCGAAGAAAAATCACAGTGCACTCTGTGCCTTCACATCTCTGGACTACCAAAATATGACGTCATAATGGAAAATGACGTCAAATCACTGCAAACTTGAGGTGTTATGACGGGGAGAGTGTCACTAACTTAACACTTTATTTCAAACTATATGTAAAATGCTACATAGCTATTGCAAAATTCACGGGTCGTTAAAGGTTTTTTAAGTCTTATATGTCCGATTATTTTAAAAATACACCGCTTACCTACCCTTGACTGAAATTCCGCATGTTCAAAATGCTTATGAAAAATATACTTTTGAAATGTACGCTGTTTTATACTCGTGGTTGGAGGTAGAATTTATTTTGTGTGTATAAAAGATTCTGGCGCAGGTGATTAATGAGGATTAATCTGAGAATTTTTGTGAAAATCTGTAAGAAGAGGTTGTTCTCTAACTGAATCTTGCTTGGGAAAAATGTGTGTTGGCTTTGTCTTAATACAGATTACGATATTGTGTGGAAAATACCCTCAAATTTGTAGGTAAGTTGAATTTCTCACGAAATATTTTGTACCCAAGTAATACTATGACTTTTCCCAAGCACATTTCGGATACACAAGGATACGATGAGTTCCTGTTAATAAAAAATGTTAATAATTATTGTGTTAATCAGCTGCGCCGAAGCGATTTATATGAAACACTTCAAAAAATTATAAAAGATCGTCACGTGATCAACAAAATCATGTGATATCATAACAAATATGTTTATATATAGCCGAGGAAACCCTGTATATAAATTGGAAGTACTAAAGTTCAATACTTATAAATTAAAACCAAAACCGACCTCGCAATGACATATTATGATTTGAGCGCATTTTAAAGCTTCGGGAAGCCTTAACATAGCTGCGTTCTCAAATCCAGAGTAGTGCTGGCATTACATAGCATTACTAAGCATTATTTTGTATAAACCTATTTTAAAAAATCGAAAATGGACATGGACATTATTGCTTAGATTATTTTTTATATAATCGAAATGAATGAAAAAAGTTAACCCATTTGAATAAAACTCTCCGTGTCTATTTAAATACATTTTTTATTTTGTTGAGAGTACAATTACCACTCATTTATATTTTCATACTTATTTTAGATCAGATTCAATTTCAAAGAATATTTTAAAGATTTTTTCTTTGTTTTAAATATCCTTTAAAAATAATTCTGGTATGAGACACACTAATTAATATACACTATAAACTGATAATTGCCACCTTTTGAATAGAGCGTCATCAAAATACACAATGCCTCTAAGGTTATGTAACAATTAAAACAATATATTGTTTTAAGAAACACTCCAAAATCCAGCCCCTTTCTTCTGACTGTTTATGAAACATTAATTGAGTTGTCTAGCTTGAGCTGACCATGACAAATTCATTGCACCAAAAGAATTAGAAGACAGGCATTCTACTTTTAGCAGAGCAAAATGTACATACATGTACTGTCCAACCCTTTTTACAAGTTTGTCAGTGCAATTAATTTTTGTCATCATTTAAGGTACTAGATCCAAATAATCTTCATATATCTTATTAAGTTTAGTTATAGTTTTGGGGAAGGGAGTAAATTGCCCCCAAAAGTTAAACTGCTCTATGACATCAATAGTTACACAAAAAGTGCATATTTACAAGTTTTTATCGCTTTGGCAATTGAAAAGTTTGAACGTCCTATGAATAATAAAAAGACATGTGAACTACACTGTAATAAATACAAGTACTTTAAATCAAATTTGAATTATCATTCATCATGCTTATTTTTGAAGGGGTAAGATGCATATTTATGAAAATATCTGCAAAGTTTTGTATTTTTATTTTTGAAAACCTCCAAAAGTAATGGTAATAATATTGCATTACTTAACTAAAGTAATGGCAATCTAATGCATTACTTTAAGAAATTAAAGTAATGGATGGTAATTTAATGCCCAAATTCTTGAAGTAATGGCAATGTAATGCATTGCTTTACAATGTAATTCGCCAAAAGCCTGGTTATGTCCAAGGTTTAAGTTTTTTGACAGACTGACAGATAATGAGATTTAATGTCTCCTCGCTTTCGCGAAAGCGGGAAACAATTACCTATGTATGGCGTCAACGACCAGATCGATTTGAGCTCCTCCTGGTAAGAAATCTCTCTCAGGGAAGCAGCACTGAAAGCCCTCGTTTTCTATAACTTCTAGTATTTTCTTTGCGTTGTTTGTATCTGTGTCGGGACAGTAGGAGATGAAGGCATGGTATCTGTGTGGATGTTCAAGTGTGGGCGACGACATCTCGACGTATGGTTGTGTCTTATAATAAAAAATACATCGAGGAGCTCATCTTCATTCATGTAAAGTTACTGGGGCCAGTAATAAACAAGAGGCCCATGGGCCACATCGCTCACCTGAGCACATTGGCTAGGATAAAGCACAAATCTGTTCAGTATTGAAAAGTTTTCATGGGGAGACTTGAATTTTAAGCTACCTGAGGCTGCTTCCATATCAAAATAACAAATGCTTTGCTGTTCTTGAGCGAAGATTTTTAAAGATTTTTTCCGATATATTCCTTTGTAAAAATTGATACCTCATTGTGGCCCCTCCCTACCCCAGAGGGTCTTCATCGGAACAAACTTGAATCTGCACTACCTGAGGATGCTTCCATTTCAATATGACTAAACATGGCTTTGCTGTTCTTCTGAACAAGAGTTTTTCCTATATATTCCTTAGTACAATTTTGATCCCCCATTGTGGTCCCACTCTAACCCCAAGAGGTCCTGATTTGAACAACTTGAGTCTACATTACCTGAGGATGCTTACATATCAATGACTAAACAAGGCTTTGCTGTTCTTGAGAAGAAGATTTTTAAAGATTTTTCCAATATATTCCTATGTAAAAATTTGATCCCCACTGTGGCCCCACCCTACCCCTAGGGGTCATGAATTGAACAAACTTAAATCTACACTATGTAATCAAGGTTTCCTATAAGTTTCAACTTTTTTGTGCCAGTGGTTCTTGATTCTTAAAAGATGCCACCAAATTTCACTATTTCTGAAATATCTCCCCGCAGCACAGTTAAGGCTGCAGTAAGGAGGCGGGGCCTAATTTATACGGGAAATGCTTACTATGACATCACACAAAAATATAAGTTCTTCAAATTACCACAAAATGAAATGATTTGCTATTTTAAACTGATGAATAGCTTTAAACTACATCAATACTAACTAGTGCATGCATTATTGTCGTTGGTTAAATCCAACACAGCAATATATAAACAATTCACTGATCGCAATGCACTTGTCAATGTGACGTCATATCGGAATATTTGACGCAGTTTGTGTGCAGTGAGAGGCGGATCAAGTTACATTTATACAATGAAAAATGTATTTTGTAATTAAATAAAATATAAATTGTAGATATATAAGAGGCCATTAACTTGGATACGATGTCTTTTTTATGATTTTATTCATATACTTCCCGTACATTCCCTAGAAAAGCGATACTGTTGTATATTTGTATGCAGATTCATTGAAGGGTAATAGAAGGGTTGTAATAAATCGATATATTGCAAGGGCATACCCTCAATGAATTATGACAAGCTTTTACACATAAACTTTTTTAGAGCTCTGCCATTCACCCACAGCATTTTCCCTTTGTTTCAAATAAATGTGATAGAGTGTGGTACTAGCTTGGGCTAGTGGTTTACCCTTTAGCTCAATTGGTAGAGCACTGGACTGGCAAGCCAGAGGCCCCGGGTTCAAGAAGTATGAAGATATTTGAAAAGTGCTGCGAACCTGTTGAAATCTTGCAAATGAATTAATTATATCTAGATATAATGTACTTGACCAGCAAAATATTCAACATACGGTCTAACAAATGTAATTTTAGCAATTAGATAGTAGAATCTATATAGGTTCGCAGCACTTTTCACAAACTACAAAGAGTGTTGAAAATAATTATATGTTAAACTTAAGATTTTTAACTTGGTTATGCCCTTGCAATATTAGAATTTATAGATGACCTCAATACTTCAGGTATATTTGCTAAAATCACGTGACTGCCACATCACGTGACAAGTCTTAATAAGAAATCTAATCGTCTTCAACATTTAGTTTTCAACCACATTGCATTTGTGCGATAATAGTAAAGTCCTAAAAAGAAATGCCCATCCTGGTAAAGAATGTATTTTTTACCTAAAAATTCGCCGATATTTCCATTTGGCACCTTAACTGTGCTGCGCCCTTGAATGAGGGCGTGGCCCTTCATTTGAACAAACTTGAATCCGTTTAACCTAAGGATGCTTTGTAGCAAGTTTTGTTGAAATTGGCCCAGTGGTTCGTGAGAAGAAGTTAAAAATATGAAAGGTTTACAGAGGGACGGACGGACAGATGGACAACAGACAAAATGTGGTCAGAAAAGCTCACTTGAGCTTTCAGCTCAGGTGAGCTAAAACTTATTTGTTTGATCTTCTCCGACCGACCCATGAAAATTGCCCCTACCCGATCATTTTTTTAATACTTTAATTTCTTTTTTGGTTTATGGGAAAATACAGATTTTAAAGTTAAGGTTTATCATTTCCTTGGGGCGTTTCTTAAGATTGAAAGTAGGAATCAATATGAAATAATACTAGTTGTCAGACGTATACTGAAAACATCAGTAAATTTGTTAAGTCTGTAGTTTTTTATGACATATCTATCAATGTGTTAGATAATTCAGGAAAAAACAAAAACAAAAACTACCTACCAACATACCCATCTTTGAAAATGTGGATCGGAGTACATCAAAGAAAAAAAAATTAATGATGGCCTAGAAACCTGGTGTCATGTTGCATAACTATACTAAGATGAAGTGCGTGTAAATTTAAATAAAGAGATGTGATGAATGGAAAATTTTGCAGACTGTCAAACAGGATTCAATACAGGAGAAACTGCATGCACTACCGTCGTACTTTGGCCCCTCTTGACAACGAATTTTATTCGTAAAATCCCTCTCGATCTACAACAATTGAAATTCACACGTATCCATTTTATTGTTCCTCATAAAATATCGCCAAATGTTTGAATTCGAGGGTATGATTTTTTTTTCTAAACATCTAATTCAAAATATGAAAAGGATTATCCAATTTGAACTTGATTAATTGAATACTTTTCCAAATAAATTTGCCAGGGTTATCTATCTTTTCAGTATACAGCCCCCCCCCCCCCCGAATTTTCGAATCATTAATTCATATTCAAATACATTGTATATTCATTGAATGAAAATTCCTTGACATCCATATATTAAAATATTTTCACAAGAAAAAGTCCAAGGAAAGCACAAAATTAGTATTTTTTTATTTCAAAACTTTATACCGAGCTAAAAACAAAAATACACAAACTTTAAGATACACAGAAGTAACACGTACTACAAGTACTTTGATTTTAGGACATTTTCAAAATCAAAATAAATGCTCCGCAAGTTCACAATTTGAAAGGAAGAGAACATATGGTAGAAAAAGGCCAGCTTTCGGTTTCTCTTTCTTTTCAATTTTAAATCCTCTCAACATTTTTAACGCGTGTATAGATTTTTGAGATATGTTTTTAACAAATAAGAAAAGCGCCTACTTTTCACTTTAATTTGTGGATTTACAATCTTCTTTCATGAAACTAGTCCGCGGTGGAACTTAAGCTGGATTGAAATCATTAAAATCAGTAAAGGATAGATTTTTCTCGTACAATCCAAAAATCTGAGCCAATATACTTATGTAATTTGTCGTAATTTATGATGCCATTTCTCAGGGAATGTAGTATAATATTTATTTATCCATTGTACGGCCTCTGTGTGAACGAGTTTAAACATTAAAGCCTCTTTTTCGTTGTCAGAGATGCCCATTGTCACAATCAAAGTCGTCTGGATGCGTATTATTCTGGAGCCAAACGGCAATATCAACGATAGGAAGTGTAACCATGTTTTTTTTTACCAAATAGATGTAAAGTTATTTCCTCAACCGATTCCGTTGTCGCACTTACCCAAACCGGGCTTATCAACGTGTGATTATCAAATACTCGGTAAAATGGCGCGTAAGACACATCGGGTATAAAAGAAACAATCAAAAAGAACTCCGATTGTGGATATGTTTGACGAAAAATGTCAATACTTTTAAGATAAGTCCCGCCGACGTTTATAAAGTAATTCTTCGTTAGTCTCTGACCTGTATACTTACGTCTTTTTTGATGCTCAGACCCTTCTTCGGATGGAGGCAAGTGAAACAAAGAGTATGAATCACTTTGTGATAATCCACGTGGTCTTAAACGTTACTCAGAATCCGACCGAGAGCCAGAAAAACGAAACAAGAAACCATAAAGTATTCCAATTATAAGTGATTCGAGGATTATAAGAAGTTTCAAGTGCCCTCTTCCCGCCCTCAAAGATAACTGCATTGATTTTTAAAGGCGGTGCAATATCCATGTCATTCTCTTCAAGTAGCAAAATTATCAGACTAGGAAGGACCTTGATTGACCCCCTAGAATTTGACAAGTCGTATTCTGATGGAAAGTGGAGAGTTTTAGTTGGTTAACCGAAGGATAATTGAAAAATTAAAGGATTATTGTAACATTAATTATAGATATAAGAAAACAAATATCAGAAAACACAATCTTTTATTCTATATGCTAAGATAAAAACTTGTCACTGACATTTTTTCTGTATTTATATGACTTATGTACAATGGATTCCAGTGAAAGCAGGTACTGGTATACAATGCTTGCTCCTCATGAAATATATATTCAAATGATGTACTCGTATTCAAATATATCACTGGGCAACAAATCATTATAATGTCTACAATAGAACACTCTCCTTTGAAAGAATTGTCTTCTCTAACCGATGACAATGGTAAACAATTAGCAGGTCAAACTTTAATACAAAACCACATTCATCCTAAAACCATCAACTTTTGACCAAAGAAAAACTTTTGTTTTCTTTGATCTACATCATATCGGTTCATTGAACACATTGGTTAGTTGGTCTCCTCGTTCTACTGTCTTCAATTTACCTTTCTCATCTCGGTGAATGTAAGGTTCACTTTTAGACATATGTGAATTGACCGAGTTTACTATGGAATAAAGATTGAAATCGGGTCCACATATGGAGGAAAACTGCTCGAGGCTGCTGAAAGAGGTCTCGCTAAGTCGGTCATCCGCTGATTCCTCTTGTATCTGTTTCTTTATTTCCCTACATATTAACCGTGGTATCTTCTCAGAGCTGCCGCTTTTATCTAAAAGGTAATTTAACAAATTTCAACCAGGTTGCATAGTTGTTGTACTGATACAGAAATACAGCAAGATAAGCGTATAGCAATTCCATTTATTGTGAATACCTATTCAAAACAGAGTTATACTTTACCAATAGATATACATGTACTGAATAAGATATTAATGCAAATTATTTTGTGTAACGAAATATGGCTATAAGAAAGAATTAAGATGTTGCTGTCCATTAAAAATAAGGGCTTTTAATGGAATAGCAAGTTCTTATGCTTTCTAGTTGCTAAGTTTGATATCTAATGTTAAAAGTACAAATTTTAAAGAAAAGGGGACCTTAAGGGTTTTTCTGGTCCTCTGTTTTCGGTTAAATTTAGAACAATTCAGGGGTTTATAATTAAACACCTATGATGATGCCAATTTCAATAAAAGAACTGATTTGATAACAAAATAAACTCATAATATACGCAGAGGGTACAAACTTCTTTAATTTTCAAACTTTCGTACTTTTAACTGATTTTTAAAAATAATTTTGCTTAAAAAAATGTAGTACACAATAATCAGTTCTTTTTAAATGTTGAAAAATTTTGACCAATACCATACCTAGTCTTTTAAAAAGTTAAAATATCTATGCCTTTGATATACTTATACCTTTGTAAAATATAATTCTATATCTTTTCGAGCACTCAGGATCCTTTTCTAAAATGTCTTTAATTGTTAGGTAGAACCTCATGGCTTGAATATACTTTTCTCTTGTCTGTAGGCCTGTTTTAGCATTTTGTTCCATTTCATACATAGTATGAATAACTGTTACGTATTCACCGACGAAGTAATATTCCTATAATTAAATGCATATTTTAAACAAAGGATCTATTTATAATTCTTTTGAATAAAAAACTAATGAATATCTCTTTTGTTCTAAAATTAATGTGGTGTACAACAGGGCTTTGATTTTGTCCCTTATCATTAAGGTTTGTCATTGACACATGGCAATACATAATATAAACCGAGATAAAAATTTATTATTAATCATTTCTTTCACTATCTATACGCCTATATTATATATTGCATAACTTTTCATGTCTCATCCTTCACTATCACTGTTAGTGAGCGTAGAGCGGTGGAATTTCTGATAGGATAACACAATGCATCTAAATAATAAACACAAACAAGAGGCCCATGGGCCACATCGCTCACCTGAGCACATTGGCTAGGCAAAAGCACAATCAGTTCAGTATTGAAAAGACCGGGGGGGGGGGGGGGGGCTTGAATTTTAAACTATCTGATGATGCTTCCACATCAATATAACAAATGGCTTTGTTGTACTTGAGATGATTTTTTTAAAAAAAATTCCCATATATTCCTTTGTAAAAATTTGATCCCTCATTGTGGCTCCTCCCTATCCCAGGAGTCATCATTTGAACAAACTTGAATCTACACTACCTGAGGATGTTTCCATATCAATATGACTAAACATAGCTTTTCTGTTCTTCAGAAGAAATATTTTTTCTATATGTTCTTATGTAAAACTTTCCATCCCCCATTGGGCCCCATCCTACCCCTGGGGGTCATCATTTGAACAAAATTGAATCTACACTACCTGAGATTGCTTCCATATCAATATGACTAAACATAGCTTTTCTGTTCTTCAGAAGAAGATATTTTCCTTTATATTTCTATGTAAAACTTTGATCCTCCATTGTGGCCCCGCCCTACCCCCGGGGGTCATGGTTTGAACAAACTTGAATCTACACTACCTGAGGATGCTTCCATATAAATATGACTCATCATGGCTTTGCTGTTCTTGAGAAGAAGATTTTTAAAGATTTTTCCCTATATATTTCTATGTAAAACTTTGATCCTCCATTGTGGCCCCACCCTTCCCCCGGGGGTCATGATTTGAACAAACTTGAATCTACACTACCTGAGGATGCTTCCATATAAATATGACTCATCATGGCTTTGCTGTTCTTGAGAAGAAGATTTTTAAAGATTTTTCTTATATATTTCTATGTAAAACTTTGATCCTCCATTGCAGCCCCGCCCTACCCCCGGGGGTCATGATTTGAACAAATTTGAATCTACACTACCTCAGGATGCTTCAATATAAATATGACTCATCATGGCTTTGCTGTTCTTGAGAAGAAGATTTTTAAAGATTTTTCCTATATATTTCTATGTAAAACTTTGATCCTCCATTGTGGCCCAACCCTACCCCCGGGGGTCATGATTTGAACAAACTTGAATCTACACTATCTGAGGATGCTTCCATATAAATATGACTCATCATGGCTTTGCTGTTCTTGAGAAGAAGATTTTTAAAGATTTTTCGTATATATTTCTATGTAAAACTTTGATCCTCCATTGCAGCCCCGCCCTACCCCCGGGGGTCATGATTTGAACAAACTTGAATGTACACTACCTAAGGATGCTTCCACATGAGTTTCATCTTTCCTGGCCCTATGGTTCTTGAGAAAAAGATTTTTAAATGATGCCATTATTTTTTCAGTAATTCCTAATTATCTCCCCTTGAAAGAGGGCGTGGCCCTTCATTTGAACAAACTTGAATCCCCTTTACCCAAGGATACTTTGTGGCAAGTTTGGTTGAAATTGGCCCAGTGGTTCTTGAGAAGAAGTCGAAAATGTGAAAAGTTTACAGACAGACAGACAGACAGACAGACAGACGGACAGACAGACGGACAGACAGACAGACGGACGCCGGACAAAATGTGATCAGAAAAGCTCACTTGAGCTTTCAGCTCAGGTGAGCTAAAAATATAACCACCATGATCTACTGACGGATGTCAATGATAATTATGAACGGTACTCACTTCACCTCTATCGTCCTGAATGCTGTATATACTGTTTCTATATTGACGAGCTACTGTACCAGCTCTGTTTTTAGTAATAACAGGAAGATGACCAACATGTTCGATAAGCGGGTTTTCGTCAGAAAGGGAGTCTCTACACCGACAGCTTTGAGGAAATAACAGGAACAATTTTTCACTCATTTTCCCATTCTTGCCATTGTCCATCCACCATTCTTTTGCTCTTACGTCAATAGCTTGAAAATCAGTACAATGCATAAGAATTCAGTCTAGAAAAAAATTATATAAACATTGAGCAATTCTTAAAAATTATAATAGACATGTGCAATTCTGCCAGGAGATGGCTAAAAAATGGTCTTCCTTTTGTCTTTATTTCAAAGCCGCTTATTTTGACAGCAGCCAAGAAGTTTTAATTAAAGCGCTAACTTAGATTTTCAATGGCTTACAATGGTTTGCCTTAATCTTATCCTTCTACATGTAAGTGACATGGCCATCAAGCCACGGAGGTATATCAAGGCAAAAATGAGTCACTCTTTTATCGTATGAAAGTTTCGTAAAATGTAATCAAATCTTTTTTAGGAATGACTCTAATTCTTGGCCAAATTATTCGAGTATAACCTGGTTTGGGTCAGTTTACGCTTTATAATCCGCGAAGCGGATTATAAAACAGCGTAAACTGACCCAAACCAGGTTATACTCGAATAATTTGGCCAAGGATTAGAGTCATTCCTTATAATTTAATTTTAAAATCATTTAATAACTATGGGTGTAAAATTTCGTTACTTTTTATTAGTTCAAATTTGCCGCTCAATAATACAACCGTAGTAACGGAAGTAACGGAAGTGATGGGAATCGAGGGGAGGTAAAAACTGATACATAGGCCTAGCAGCCATGTTGTTTGGTTACATGTGGTAAGATCGAATTATTGTTTGAAATTAAAGGTACATTTATTAAATCTGGAATTTTCCATGAATCCCGAGGACTGGAAATGAGAGGATTGTATGGAAACAGACGATTCAGCTGGTTGTCAAGGGGGTGTGTCCCCATACCAAACCAGGTTATACAGAAATAATTTGTGTTCCTTTTTGGATATTAACCAATCAGAGGCTAGAATACAAACAAAATTAAATTATTCTGAGATATCGATGAAGGAAAATATAACAACAAAAATCATGTTAAATAAAACAGAGAGAGAGAGAGAGAGAGAGAGAGAGAGAGAGAGAGAGAGAGAGAGAAAGTGCATAACAAACCAACAAATACATACTTGGTAAAATGATTTTGAGGTATCCGAAATAATATCCCCAGGCAAAGCCATGCGCCAGATTCCCCACAGGTAAAAGGGACTCCCAGGTGTAATCTGCTTCTGTTGAGAAAAGCGACAATAGAATTGAGTTGGGAGGTAATTAAGGTCTCTCGCTTTAAGATTTTTTTATTACTTGCATGTAGAAGTTATTTCATTTTTCCCATGATATATACATGTAATAAGACTTTTATCTCTGATCTATGTTTCTCAACGTTTGGCCATGCACTATCCACAGTTATAAATGACCACAGCGCTATATAATAATGTGAGATCACTATATTGGGGTTTGCACTTTCGTTGTTTACGTGGTATGACGAGACCAGCGAATTCATGTCCTCAACAAAAAAGTTGCAATTTCATAAACAGTAAGATGTTCTTCAACCACGAAATCAAATCTCCTCGAACCAATATTTTTTCCTCAAACCACGAAAATTTGACCCGACAAAAATAAGTAGTTTTACAATGTTAATTTTTATTCTTGTTATATACAGAAATCTTCCTTATTTCTTTTAAGATTAATTTCAGATTTTCAAGAAGAGATTATGTTTGAAATCATTAATTTGATTTAAAATCTAGTGCTTGTAACTTAATTGTTATCTATTGAATGTTATTACCATGATTATAATAACATATAGTAAATACATCTTACTTTTAATGGCCTGGATGATATCATAAACATTCTCGAATTTTTCACGGAGTTCTACACAAGTAAGAAGTCGGAGTGGAGGTGGGAGACATCCAAGCTTGACCCCGCCCAGCAGTACCGGAACCAGACAAACGCGGTTCCGGGTATGGGAATCGTCCACAGCCAACAACATCTCAAACTTGCTCCACTCGCTTTGTAAAGACGACGGGGAAATCACCAGAATCACATGGCGGGAACTGAAAGAATATGTTTAAACAAAAGGCTCATGGGACACAATGCTCACTTCATCACCTCGGTCAAGCTGTTCTTCAGAGGAAGATTTTCAAAAGATTTGTCTCTCTTTATTCCAATGAAAAATGTTGACTCGGTATTTTGGCCCCTACTAGCCATAAGAGACTGTTATTTAACAGTTTGAATCCACACAACATTGGGAGGGGGTGTTTTGATATCAATATGACTAACATGACCTTAATTGCTGTTCTGTAGAAGACTTTTTAAAAAGATTTTTTATGTACACTAGCATTATGTAAAATCTGATCTCCAATTTTAAACCCATCTTAAACAGGGTCCATAATTTGAATTAAAAAAAATGAGTCAATGAAATTTACGAATGTTTGCAAATTGATGCAGTGTAAGTTATATGGCCTTGCTACTTTGTTCCTACATATTTTCTTGTTAAACTGATTCCCTACTGTGGCCCGTCTAGGGAGGGGGGCTTTAATCTACATTACCCGAGGACGCTTGCACATTACGACTAATCATGGCTTTGTTGTATTTCATTTTTTTTTAATTTGTATACAAGTTTGGCTTTCTAGAAAGCCTGAAATGTCATCTCTTTGGCTTCATTAATGTCACAGAATAAACAGTGGAATGTTATATCATTTTCTCAGCTATTACAGGCAGTAGTATCGCTTTTGAAAAAAATGGGGGGTGGAGGACCGAAGAAAAAATCGACGATTTATCTGAACAATCTTTGACAAGGGGAAAAAGGGGCTATCCAAACTCAACATTTTCATTTCTTGGAAGGAGGGATTACAACTTTTCCGACAAACATATTTTATATTATAATACATTCTTATGGGATGATTTGACGTACCATACTGCAACAAAAGGTGGAAGAGGGGTCAAGGGTGCGCCTTTTCAATGTTTGGGAAAAAAGTGGAAGGGGACGGCCCTCCTGGTGCTATGTGCCTGTATTATTTTACCTGTTGTAACTCGCTTTATTCAGTTTAAATATATTTTGTATAATGTCTGTAAAAAAATTCTAACCACTGAGAAATATTCGTAAGAATTATTTAAAGTCAAATATTGCGTTTTTTTTAATAAGTTCAGACTACCTAAATTAAAAAGATCTTTCTATTTGTTTTATTACTTTATATAAAAATAGGACTTTCCTGTAAATTTCACAATTTAAATCAATCACGTTTCAAGGATATTAGAAATTTAAAACAATAACCGATTTATTTACCGATTCAGATTTTAATTAACAGACACAGTTTTAAATTTTTTTTTAATCAGTCGAACTATGGAAACATGAGGTTATTCAAGTTCAAAATCGGTGAAAAATTTAATTTCAACGTAAATAACATATATCATGTTTAGCTACACCCAATCTCGTATTTTTATTTTTTAGCTCAGATACGCCATATATAGCTTTAACAATTATTCCGAAAGAAGATGGTTAAAAAATTAGCGTTCCTTTTGACTTTAGTTCTTAGCCGCCTACTACGGCAGCAAAGAAGTTTTAAAGCGCCAACTTAAATTAATCTGAACCTGAATTAATTCCCAAGACTTTCCTTATTTTCCTTATTCGTATCCTCTGCAGTGAGTTGGCCATCGAGCCACTGGGAATATCAAGGGAAAAACTCCTGCTTCATGCCCTTCTGCTGCCCATGCAGATTCATGTTCTAACGCTATATTATGTATAATATAAGTACATGTACATGTATACGCTCCTGGGAAAAAAAAAATCATGCATAGAAAGGTAATAAAATTGAAACGTTACCATTTAAAATTAAGTATTTACACACTGAAAAGAACCCCAATCTACCAACATCGATTTTATAGGCTGTTCCATGAGACACACATTTTATAATTTTAGCTTTATTTCAAGAATACGAGGAGTGATTTTTTTTTACCTTTAGAATTGCGTAAAGAAAAATGATAACAGTTGCTTTGTTTATTAATTCTTAAAATCTGAGCCAGGAAAAGAAAACTGTATCTTTTCCTAAAACTTTTCTACAGGGGTAAATTTAAATAAAAAAGAATATAGCGCACACATCCGAGAAAATACTCATAATGATTCTTTATGATCTTTATTCCAATGCCTGCAGCACCGAGTTACTTAAATCAGAGACATTTATGTTTCTGCCTAATTTGTGCTTTTAGGTAAAATTTCTTTTCTTCGAAATTTATTTATTTATTTATTTATTTATTTTTTGAATAAGTTCTGTTTTATTTTTCATATATACGGCATTAATTATCGATTGACTAAAGTGCACATAAAAGTAAAGTTTTTGCCATTGTATATATACATTTAATATGAGTTTTTATTTAAATGTTTTCACTGTTTTCTTTCGTCAGTAAATCTTGGATCCACGCCTTGGCTTATACATTCAATATGCCATGTTTTGTGTATATTGATCCCCGCGCGCTGACCATCGTTTTACGCAAAAGCCTAGATACAATGTTTATGTATATATATATAAGCCGTTAATGAAGACCCACCACCACCCAAGTGATCCTACCTCTATTACTCTTAATGAACCCTGGTGTAGTTTTACTTTAACTTTAAGATGGACCATTTTGTTTGATAATAATAAGACAGACTTTGGTCAATTTTGTTTACATCTCTATATTTAGAAATCGTGTCATCGTCAGTTCCTTTGCCAGACCACCAGTTTATCAATGGCAGCTTACACTAGGACTTTACTTCCGGTGATTCAAACTTAATGTGTCATCTCCCGAGGGAGATGACAATAATACCGTGTAAAACTTTGATCTCCTATTTGTGGCTCTACCCAAACCCAGGTGGGTATGATTTGATCAAAGTTAAATCTACAATACCTGAGAATGCTTCCATATGAATAATCTTGCCCATTGTTGTTCTTCAGAAAAAAGAGTTTCAAATACACATGTATTACCATGTTATTCGTTGTTCTCCCATTGTGGCCCCTACCTACTCCTGAGGGCCATGATTTGAACAAATCTGAATCTACACTACCTGAAAATGCTTCCATATAAATATGACAAATCATGACCCAGCTGTTATTCAGAAGAATGATTTTAAACTTCAAAAGAATTATTTTAAATTCCTATTCAAACCTATGATCCCTTACTGTGGCTCCACCATACCCAAGGGGCCTGGATTTGAATATCTTTTCTGGTTCAGTGGTTCTTGAGAAGAATATTTTAAATTTGATACATTATTTTCTCCAGTTCTTAATTATCTACCCTTGATCATGAATGAATCCCCTACACCCAAGAATGTTTTGTGGCAAGTTTGGGTGAAATTGGCCCAGTGGTTCTTGAGAAGTTGAAAACGTTAAAAGTTTACAGACGGACGGACGGACAGACAGACAGACCGACAAAACGTTATCAGAAAAGCTCTTATGCGCCTTCAGCAAAAAGTGTTGCAATATACACCAAACAGGTATTTGCTACCTCTTCTTACTTGAAAATATCTTTTGCAAATAACATTAACAATTTATCTATTTTTACTCATTCAATAAAAGGGGCTATCTCTTTGGCAATGAACAAAACAAGTAGGATTTCAATTTACTTTAATTGAGAAAACTATATGTAATTTTAACCTTAAACCAAAGAAGAAAAAAAAATGTTCTGCGTTCTAGAATACAGTTTTTTTTTCTATTGATACCATTTTTTTCTCCAATTATCAACTTGAATGTTGATCTACATAATTATAATCTTCACTGCCTTCTTTTGGTAAGCAATGTGCTTTTTACATGCATTTTTAGGTTGTGCCTTGAATTCTCAGGAAAGAATTTTGCATTTTGTAGCATATTGTAACTGTTTTCGGCCAAAGTTAAATTTTTTTTTATAAGAAAGTCAAACTTCTAGGTCAAGGTCATGAGTCAAAAATGATGTAACTTTCTGAAAGGTGTTGTCATATGTAATTTACATATAAAATATGAAAGCTCCATCTTCTCTTCAAAAGTCATAACTAATGTAAAAAAAAAATAATAAATAAATAGTGTAGATTAAACTTTAAGGTCAAGCTCACGGCGTCAAAAACTATAATATATTCAGAAAAAGTCTTGAAACAGGTGATGCACATGTCAAATATAAATGCCTTATCTTCTCTCATTCAAAAATGATCAGCAATGTTAAAGGTTTGAAAATTAGGTTAAACTTCAAGGTGAAATATAAATGCCCTATCTTCTCTCATTCAAAAATTATCAGCAATGTTAAAAGTTTGAAAATTACATGTAGGTCAAACTTCAAGGTCAATGTCAGGAGTTTAAAATCATAGTACATTTAGAAACGTATTGTCACAGGTAATGCAGATGTGAAATATAAATGCCCTATCTTCTATCCTTCATAAATTATCAGCAATGCTAAAATTTTGGAAAATTAGGTCAAACTTAAAGGTCAAAGTCACTGGGTCAAATATTATAGCACAATCGGAAACTTCTTGTCAAATTTAATGCTCTTGTCAAATATGAAAGTCCTAACTTCTCTCATTCAAAAGTTTTTAAGAATGTTAATTTTTAAAAAAAAATTGTCAAACTTTAAGGTCAAGGTCACAGGGTCAAAAATCATAGCACGTTCGGAAATATCTTGTCACAGGTAATACAAATGTCAAATATGAATGCCCTATCTTCTCTCAATTAAATATTATATTCAATGTTAAATGTTTGAAAAGTAGGTCAAACCTCAAGGTCAAGGTCACGATGCAAAAAATCATAGTATATTTAGAAAATCTTATCAAAGGTAATGTACATATGAAAGATGAAAGCCACATCTCTTCTCATTCAATAGTAATGATCATGGTAAATGTAATGTTAAAATTTTATAAGAGTAGGCCAAACGTCAAGGTCAAGGGATCAAAAGTCATGATATGTTCGGAAAGGTCTTGTTACAGGTAATAGACATGTGAAATATGAAAGTTCTATCTACTTTCATTCAAAAGTTTTTTGACAGACTGACAGATAATGAGATTTAATGTCCTTTCGCTTTCGCGAAAGCGGGGAACAATTACCTATGTATGGCGTCAACGACCAGATCGATTAGAGCTCCTCCTGGTAAGAAATCTCTTTCAGGGAAGCAGCACTGAAAGCCCTCGTTTTCTATAACTTCTAGTATTTTCTTTGCGTTGTTTGTATCTGTGTCGGGACAGTAGGAGATGAAGGCATGGTATCTGTGTGGATGTTCAAGTGTGGGCGATGACATGTCGACGAATGGTTGTGTCTTATGATAAAATAATGAGTACCTGATTTTAAAAAAAAGGAAGTGTATAAAAAATACGTCGAGGTTCTAATCTTCATTGATGTTAGGTTGCATTACTCAATACTGGGGCCAGCAATAAACAAAAGGCCCATGGGCCACATCGCTCACCTGAGCACATTGGCTAGGAAAAAGCACAAATCAGTTCAGTATGAGGATGCTTCCATATCAAAATAACAAATGCTTTGCTGTTCTTGAGCAAAATTTTAAAGATTTTTTCCTATATATTCCTTTGTAAAAAAATTGATACCCATTGTGGCCCCTCCCTACCCCAGAGGATCATTATGGGAACAAACTTGAATCTACACTACCTGAGGATGCATCCATATCAATATGACTAAACATGGCTTTGCTGTACTTCTGAAAAAAGATTTTTTTTCTATGTATTCCTAAGTAAAATTTTGATCCCCCATTGTTGTCCCATCCTAAACCCAGGGGTCATGATTTGAACAACTTGAGTCTACATTACCTGAGGATGCTTACATATCATTGACTAAACAAGGCTTTGCTGTTCTTGAGAAGAAGATTTTTAAAGATTTTTCCAATATATTCCTATGTAAAAATTTGATCCCCCACTGTGGCCCCACCCTACCCCCAGGGGTCTTGAATTGAACAAACTTGAATCTACACTATGTAATCAAGGTTTCCTATAAGTTTCAACTTTTTTGGGCCAGTGGTTCTTGATTCTTAAAAGATGCCACCAAATTTTCACTATTTCTGAATTATCTCCCCTTGAATGAGGGCGTGGCCCTTCATTTGAACAAACTTGAATCCCCTTTACCTAAGGATGTTTTGTGGCAAGTTTTGTTGAAAATGGCCCAGTGGTTCTGGAGAAGAAGTTGAAAATTTGAAAACAGAAGGACGGACGGACACATAGACTACAGGCAAAATGTGGTCAGAAAAGCACACTTGAGCTTTCAGATCAGGTGAGCTAAAAATTATTTGTTTGATCTACTCCAACATCAAAATTGCCCCTACCCAATCATTTTTTTTTCAATACTTTGAATTCGTTTTCTTTTTTGGTTTATTGGAAAATACAGATATCAATTTTAAAGTTAAGGTTTATCATTTCCTTGGGGGGGTTCATAAGATTGAAAGTAGGAATCAATATGAAATAATACTAGTTGTCAGACGTATACTGAAAACATCAGTAAAGTTAAGTCTGTAGTTTTTTATGACATATCTATCAATGTGTTAGATAATTCAGAAAAAAAAACACAAAAAAACCTACCTACCAACAAATTAACATACCCATCTTTAAAAATGTGAGTCGGAGTACATCAAAGAAAAAAAAAAATTAATGACGGCCTAGAAACCTGGTGTCATGTTGCATAACTATACTAAGATGAAGTGCGTGTAAATTTAAATAAAGAGATGAATGGAAAATTTTGTAGACTGTCAAACAGGATACAATACAGGAGAAACTGCAGTACTACCGTCGTACTTTGACCCCTTTTGACAACGAATTTTATTTTTCTTTGTGTGTGTGTGTGTTTTTTTTTCGGTGTTCTATACTTCCTCGATTTTAGTACGCTAATCTAGTTATGTAATCTCGCACGCCGACGAAATAAATCTCAATTGACATCGAATTCCATATGCCGCATAGTTAAAGAAAAAAATCTATTTATATTCTATATTCTTAGAAAACCCTTGGTAACAATCTGATAAATTTATTGTAGACACAGATTTAACATACTCAGTGTGAACAAATACATGTATTAATGTTAACGAAAGTACATTTTTTAACTTTCGTAAGTGAATGGGAACGTATGAGGAGAGAGAGAGAGAGAGAAGCTCACATAGTGGTTGGTTTGTTACAAGCTATACTGTATGAATAATTATAAATTCACAGTTTTTTTTAAGCGTATAATTAATGAACGTCATCGCTGATGATATTTACCTACTTTACCTTTTTCAAATTGATGAATTGGGAAATATTCTCCAACTTACTTCCCCCGTGTCAACAAATTATTAAAACTGTAACCCTTTGATTTTCTGTCAACTGTACAGATGACAAACAAACATTTGATTTTCAGTAAAATTATTTTTAAAGAATTCATAAAACCAGATTTAACAGAAACTTTAGAAGAAAAACTTACTCATAAACACTTGTGATTTCACCAGGTAACCTTCATTAAAATCCTGATATAAATAAAGCGAAACCAAACATCAACAATGGGGACTCGCGTCAGAGAGAGAGAGAGAGATACGTGTCCACAAGATCACACCTAGACAGTTGTCCACTGAATGAGGCAAGTTTAAAGACGACATGGTTCTATACATCTTAATTATACCTTTCATACACTTGAAAGCATTCCTTATCACTGTTTAAACATTCCAGCCTCCTCTTATCAAAAAGTTTCACACATCGAACGGAGGGTTTTTCCTGATACCAAAATAATTCAAGTTGGTATACATCAAGACCTAGCTTCAAGATTGGGTGACTATATGCCATAGTGTTCATATTCAATAAAAAAATATCATTAATTGTCAATGATAAGTAATAATCAAGAACACAGCGTCGTGTTTACTAAACAATTAAGCTCGACCTTGAGGCGGTCGATTGTTTAGAATTTTACGATGTTTCATTGATACTTAACACCATCTGATAAAATACACAAATTTAGATTGAAGCAAAGCATCAAATCGACCGCTTAAATTTAGCATTATAAAATAGGAATTTTACGCTATTTGAACATATTATGAACATATTTTATTGAATAATTTATACAAAAGGACAGGATACAAGACGTTAGTTCTTTCAACCTAATAGATCTTTTCCTTATTATACATGCACAATAAACATAATGATTATCAAACAAATAAATCGAAATAAATTACAGGTTGGATAAAATTATATACATAAATAATATCTGTTATTTTAATTATTTAATTAAAGACATATCGTAGTATAGAGCATAGAGTCTACCAGTGCTCTAAATTTACATATCGTAATGGTTACAATGTTTGTTGAACAAATGAGTTACATGTTTAAAAAGGATTTAAAATTTCTTACATATTCTATATATGATGAATTCAAAGACACATGTTTTGAATTAGAATCTATGATCTGATTCTCAAATAATTTTTATGCTCAGCCATGAGGCTCAGTTTAAAAAAAAAACAAAAAACTATTCAAGATATTTTTATCAAACTTCAAATGCTGATACATATTGATGAGAGCTATTACACTACACCAACACATTTTGGCCTTTCCCGTGACCTTGACATCACTTTTCTTTAATTTGTGTTTATCTCACTTTCAAAGAAACTATTCAAAATATTTTTATCAAACTTTTATGATGATACATAATGATGAGAGCTTTTCAACTGCATAACATTTTTTGACTTTCCTGTGATTTTGACACTTTTCTTAAATTCTTGTTTGACCCAGATTAAAAGAAATTATTCAAGATATTACATCGAAACATACATGTATATACTGGTGAGAACTTATCAACTGTGTCCATTTTTTTTTTACCTTGATCTTCCCTATGACCTTATTAGATTTTTCCATTTGTTGTGTTAAAAACTCAGTTTCAAAGAAACATTTAAAGACTTTTTTCATCAAACTTCATATACTAATACAAATTAGTGAGAGATTAACCTTCCTATGACCTTGACATTACTCATTTACCCCAATCTTAAACAAAGAAGCAAGGTACATTTCATTTCATGTTGCATTACTAATGAATCCCGGGCTGAGCATTTATGACCTATGGACTATGGATTTGCTTAGCGGTGTTTACTGACTAACAACCATGGTTTTGATAAGAAATAAAGGAGATAATATTTAGTAGATGTAAATATTCTATGTTTAACGTCACCTACGCGCATAGGTGTCAGGGAAATTTTCGCTTCGAAAAACAAACTTAACCCTTATATCCCTACATGTATATCTATTTTATTTCGTTTTAGCAACTAATATTTAAACAGAATTCCCTATAGGATAATACAATATTTTGAGTCCGTTATAAAGTATATTTGACTCTTAACTCCTAGACTCTCTTTTAAACCATATACCTCTAGATCGTTTTAATCAGACTGACAAACTGGGGTAAAAAAAAAAATAGGTGTGGTGTGGAACTTCTCGTATAGAGTACCCAGTTTCGCCGATGAAATGTGGTAAATCAAATCAACATATAAACAGTCTATATGACTACCAAAGTTAATTCCGAAATTCTCAAGAAATGCAGAAATCAATACCAAAATCGACCTCTTTTTCTTCAGTCGAAACATTAAAAAGAAATTAGATTGAATATTGCCCCCCTTTTAAAATTATTATTATCAAAAAAACTAGTCTGATGTCAATAATTAATGTGGATGTTCGGGCACAGGTGCATCTTATCCGCTCTGTTCTCTACTACACGTATAAAAATACACGTGTATTTTTACTTGTGTAGAGCGGATATAAGGTTCGAGGAACTTAAATTTCACATGCAGGTCACACTATTTGCATAAGCCCGACCCCCCCCCCCCCCGACATCACCAAGAATGAGAAACAAATTATCGAATAATAAAAAAAAATGTATCAAAGGGAAGAGTGACTTCATTATAGCTAAGCTCACCACGAATCTTCTCAGAATCTGACGAGGATTTTGACCCTAGACATATTGAATAGATCGGGCTGGGTTTGTTACAGTCGGATCCAATTGCAAGTTTGTCTTTCGTCCGTCAGTCTATCGTCTCTCTCTTTTGTTTTGTTTTTCCACACTTTTCTGGTTTCTTCTCAAAAACTTCTGGTATTTAATTTTAATCAAACTTGGTATAAAGGATTGTTGTGTACAAAGATTCAATAAATAGCAAAACAGAACACTTGGGATAATTTAATTTTCTTCTTTTCAAGAACTATACTAGCTAGGCCAGAAAAAAACAACAACACACAAATCTAATGTGAAGGCTTTCTTATATATTGAAGATTCATATTTTTTGTTTTGTTTGTTTGTTTTACATCATATGACTCTAGAATCTAGAGTAGGGTTACATTAGTGGATATCAAAGTATGAATATACAGAAAAAGAAGGGCTTCTGTGACAGATAGGAAAAAGAGGAACGAACAAATGCACGATGAAAAATTATGCTGAACCCCGCGATCCCTCTGCATGAACAGGCCCATAGGAAACTATACTTCAGTTTCGGAGGTCGTAGGGTGGGGGTGGGGTGGGGGCAGCTACAGTGTAGCAGTTTAAAAGATTCCTTCACAAGCAAAAAAAAAAAAAAAAAAGTCAGACGACGTTATTAGTGATAATGAGGGGCACAATCGTAAATTAGTTTTCTTTTCTATTGTATAAGTATTTGTTAAATTGGCATAATTGTTTGGAGGGGCACGGTTCTTACGAACCAAGTGCTATAGCTACCACTGCATAGCCATCCAGGTTGATATCTAAGGTTCATTCCTATAGTCAATTATAACTTACCACGCCCCTCCTAAATCTTTAATTGGCAACTGCACCAAATATATATCAGGAAATGAGAAATGAACAAAGACAAGATGAAAAATTATGACTTTGGAGGATTTCAAAAATATGGTGGAAATTTACCCGCTAAAAACAAAAGACTTAACAATATACAAAAAGTTATATTGATACGCTTGCATTAGAGATTCATTTTGTAATTTTATCAATTCATGGTCTCCGGAATAGAGTTAGGCCCCAACTGTTGACAAGATTACAAAGAAATATAAACTTTCGCAAGAACAACAATTTATATGTGATATTGTTTTACTTTGACCCCCCGGGATGTAACTATAGTATAGGACCAGCTGTCTTCGATTTCAAATGAACTGAGGTCATGCAATACGAAATTTTTTGGGATGACCTACTACTACAGACTCAACTTCCGGTTAAAAAAAATATATTGGTTTGGTATCGCGCCATCAAAATATGAAAAATGGAAAACTTGTTTTATTCCCCATAACAGTAAGAAATGTATATAAATTTTCTTTTTTCTATATGATTGTTTCAATTGTACACAAATTGCAATGCATTGTGGCATTTTTCTTTTATGGGACAGACATACAAAGGTATCGGCTGCCGCCTGATGTAAACAGTGGTAAACAAACTGAAGAAAAAAATATAATTGCTAGAATTATTCTATATGCAAGGGGGGGGGGGTTATTGTTTTATTTTTACTTGTTCTAAGCAGTGCACCTCCTTTTTAAACTCATATGAAGGATCGCTTTGAATGGAAAACTTTGTCCATGCATAAGCAAGTTTTTGTAAGGTACGTGTAAGTAAAGACTTTTTTAGTTTCATGGAAATGTGCCACATATATTTTAGAAATTAAGATAGTTTTGGTCTTTTGGACTAAATCCTTTTCGTGGAATTATGCTATATACAAATTGGAAATTGAGAAAGATTTGGCCTAAATAATTTGAAATATCAAATTTCCACATATTGCATCAGTATCTGACATTATGATTGTGCTCAGGACATATCAAGTTAAAGCTTTTTTGAACAGATATATTCCATAAAACTATTCTAATTAAGCAAGAATTGCCAAGTTTTAATTAATTAAATTTAAAGTGGTATTATTTACATTATCTTTCATTTGCCAAGTAGATCAAGAGACAGGTTTCTTGAAACCTTAAACAGTAAAGTCGAACTAAATTTCTAAACAGTTATTTCCAAAAGCAGAAACTAGGGGTATTGGGTGGCATATTGTGATATTTAAAGCATTGAATTATTATTTTAGTTTCATAATTGCAGTGTGTGCAAACGAATTGAGTAACCAGTCTGGTCGAACCCCCAAAGGGGGGTAAACGGAAATAGGAAAACCATACCTCCTAACGGAGGTCTGAGCATGTGCAGATGCTTAAAAATGTGCATATTTCACGCAAAAAGTAGGGGTTTACAAAAAATGCTGGTGCAAAGTAATGGATCATTTTGCAAGTTTAAAACCACTTGGAAATGATAGTTTAAAGGTGTTTTTACAAAAATACAACTTAATTTAATATACAAATTGGGTATTTATTCACTGGCAAAGTTGGTGACCTTTTGATTCTTAACATACAGGTATTTATAATAAGATAAAATATGTGATAAACAGACATAAGCACCAAATATTAAGAGGCAGTCCACCGAAAAACCAGGCAATGGGTGGCACATCCAGTGTTCGAAATTAGCGTCGGTCCGTCGGCCCTGCGCCGACGTAAACATCGAAGGACTCGTGAACAGTGCGACCAAACGGGTCCTTCTGTTTAATTTGGGCCGACGCTGTTGCCGGGAATAAAACTTTACAACGTGTGTTGGTTTATGTATTTAGATTATCATGTTTTTATCTATCCCGCATTTTGATTGGATTTGTTGAAAGAAATGAACCAATGAGCGTTTTTATAAGAAATTACGTATGAGATTGGTAAAACTAGTTAATTGTATGGTGATAGAATCAGTCGTGCTTTTCCTACGTATTTAAACGGTATAGAATTAAAACCGAAATCAATTTTAAACCATTCAAACTGTGTTATTTCACTTAAAAATGTTTAACTGTTTCATACTGTAGATGTTTGTAATTTGTGAGAGACACACTTCGTGAAATGAACTTATTTTACCCAGTTTGGTAGGGAAAACAATGTGGCGCTTTTTAAATACTAGTTCAGCTACACCGCCAGCAAAAAAAGCAAAAACTGCAGAGGAAAAACGATTAACACAGAAAGAATATGAAAAGAAAAGAAAGCCAAGGTCTTTTCAAGTCAAATGGATACAAGAGTATAAGGAATGGCTTCTGTATGATGGAAAAAAAATGTTTTGTAAAATGTGTCGGTCATCATATGGCCAGTTGGCTGTTAAACGTCTAGCAGACAAGGGTGGTTTTAAAAATTATTCCAAAGGGCCATTCGTGGTTGGCTGTGAAAATTATAAACACTCAACTTTGATTGCTCACGAAAAATCAGAAGGACATATGCTTGCTGTACAGCATTCCGAATCTATGAAAGCCCCCCCAGGTACAACACCAGCAGAAAAATCTATTCAGCAACTAAATTCAGCAGTTTTCAAAAAACTTAATATACTTTTCCGAAATGCACATGCACTTGCAAAGAACAGTCGTCCCTTGAGGGATTTTAACTGGATGGCTGCATTAGATGAAAAAAAAGGCATTCAAGTTGGAGAAACGTACAGGAATGATAAGTCATGTAAGTCGTTCATTTCAGCCATTAGTAGTGTAGAACAAGATAGAATCAGAAAAGAACTTGACCATCATAAGTTTCTTACAATTATTAGTGATGGATCAACAGACGTATCGGTTGTGGAGAACGAAATAGTGTACTGCAGATCAGCTTTCTGTGGATTGGCAAAAACATTCTTTATCTCAATGGAAGCAGTTGGGAAAGCTAACTCGGATGGAATTTATAAAGCAATAACTAACAGTTTTAAATCAAACATCGGAGCCAATAGTCTAGATAAAGTTGTTGCTTTTGTTGCTGATGGTGCTTCGGTAAATACTGGTGAGAAAAATGGTGTAATAGCAAAACTCAGAGAACAATTATCACCATCTATAGTTATGGTAAAATGCCTAGTTCACAGAATTGAGTTAGGATATAAAGAAGCCTTGAAGTGCAAAGCATATGATGGACTTGTTAATCTGTTAACAGGACTCTATGCATTTTATCACAGAAGTCCATTGCAGAGAAATGGATTAAAAGATTCATTTGCTACATTAAACATTTCCCCCATCATGCCAAGCCGTACTGGGGGAACTCGGTGGTTGTCACACACTCTCTCAGCACTACTGAAGTTCTGGAGGGGCTATAAAGCCATTTCTGCACACCTAAATCAGGTACGTAAATACCTAAATAAAAAGATTTGATGGACAAAGTTACAAAACTGCACAATTAAGTAATATTTACAAATGATTTTATTTAGGTTTGTTTGTTGGATCTGAAAAACAAGCCAAAAGCCAAAGCCCTTTTGAAGTTGATGCACTCGAAGTCTATCATCCACTTTGCTCATTTTCTTCATGATATCCTGAATGTCTTATCAAGACTTTCATTGGAGCTACAGAAAGTGGACTCCTCTATTTACCTTTGTCATGAACAGATGCAAGCAACCATGACTTCGTTAAGAAAGCTCCAACAAAGGTAATCAAAAAATCTCATTTCTGAATTTTGTTTTAGGCTTGATGAATTTACCCTTACATACATTAATTTAAAAAATGCCTGTGTAGACAAGGTCAGATGCTGCAAGAATTATCAAGTGAAAATCAGGGAGATACATTCCAAGGAGAGAAGTTAGTAGGTCATTTTGCATACCCATCTGACATAGTTAAGAAACTGCAGACATGTCTGGAAGTCAGATTTGGGGATTTGACTGATGATTTAATGTCCAGTACAAAAATTGTTGACCTATCATCTTGGCCTGTAGAACGGAATGAGGGTTGGTCATTTTACAATTAAAAGGTGTTCTAAGTTAATACCTTTTTACCAGTTACAACTAACATTTATGTTCTCCATGTTAACCTAATTAAATAATTTCTCCCATTCTGTTTGGTTTGGATATTGGATATGTATTGTTTGTGTTTTGATAGTTTTGTGTTGTAGTTCTTGTTATTTCTGTTGATTAATAGCATTCTTTTAAGTTTTAATAGAAAATACAACATTTTTGTAGTTGTATCAAAATGGATTCTGTTACAAGATGTTAATTAATTGCAGATTTTAGATATGTAATTTTATTATTTTTATATCATACTTTTTATCTTGACAAATGACAATGGTAAAAAATATTTTCAGACTTTGGTGATCAGAGTGTGAGAATCCTAATTAGCAAATTCAAAGATATTCTTCAGAAGCAGTGTGTTGACACTGGGGCCGTAGCTGCAGAGTGGGAGCTTTTAAAACAACTTCTATACACCAAGTATGTGTTCTTAATTATTCTAACCTCTCAGTGATCTGCAGTAAAAATAAAATTTTATGGTTTTTAGATTTAACTTTTAAGGCTTAAAAATAAATGTCATATAATTGTGATTACAGTGAGAAGATTTTTGAGATTAATTGGCAGCTGATTAATGTGAAGTACAGAGAAAAGATCCCAAACATTTTAGATCTTTTTGATCTTGTGCTGTCATTACCTGCCAGTTCCTCTGAGTGTGAGAGAGGGTTTTCTGTCATGAAAATGACTAAAACTGACTATAGAAATCGATTGTCAAGTCACACTCTTTCCCAGCTAATGGTGATCAAACTTCACTCTCCAGAAATAGAAAGTTTTGACCCAGGGCCAGCCATTCATGCTTGGAACACAGGTATACAAGTATTGACTGTTAAGAGAAAAGTTTAAGTACATGATGTAATTTTTAAAAATGAAAAGTATTTCACATGACTTTTTATACAAACAGGCATCAGAAGAAGACCTATGTTTAAAACATGTCGGCCCCTTGACAGACTAAAACAAGCACATTCAGACACGGTACCAGACTGCCCAGACATGCAGACACCAGAGATTGAGAGTAGAGAAGCAGAAGAAGAAGCAGAGGAAGAAATGAAAGACTTAGAGGATGATTATGACAGTGATTTTAGTGACAATTTTGTTTCAGGTTCTGAGTCTGATAATTCTGTAGATATTCTTGCTGCAGCTGATGATCTCAGTGAATAACAGACAGTGACTACTATTATGACCAGAATACCTTAATAAAATAAATCATTTATTTACTGAAATATTTGAATAAATGTCTGAAATCAATTTTCAAGTCTTTATTTTAATAAAATGTGATGGGTAACTTTTGGGCCTACATTGCGTTGGAAGGACTCATGTAGACCCCTTTGCAGTGGGTCCTTTGGTCCCATAGGAAATAATTTTGAATTTCGAACACTGGGCACATCGCATGTCATGGATTTTAATTATTTTTTGCATGTAGACTTATTAAAGCAAGTTTTTACACATGACAACATTAAAAAAATTTTTAGTGCTCCTCTAGTCCTATTTTTGGTAAATGCTTAATTTTAAGTGCAAAAAGGTCAACATAAGGGTAAAAAAAATTACAACGTTTTTATTTTGTTTTATATGTAACAGATACTCAAAAGCTGGATGTGTCGATGAATATTATTTATAGCATAGACTCTTATCTTTTATTTTATTAATGAATAAGACTCCAATTTATACTTCTTTAGAAAAAATTATATGGTCCAAATTTGAGTTAAGCAAGTAACTTTTTGAATTCAGTATCCAGTTTTCATTACGTTATAAAACCCAATACATTACAAGGACAGATTTTTTTTCTTATGTTATTATGAATACAAAGTACAAACTTTTGAATCACTCAATAAAATCAGTGGGAACAGGTATATTGAAAGAAATAAAAGGAGTCAAATTTACCTTTTTTTTTTTTTTTTTATAATTTTCCCAAATGAAACCGATCCCGACCGGAATTATATAAAGAAAAAAATACTATAATTGTAATGTTAAATCTGGCTCTTTTGTTGTAATATGAGTAAAAACTTACTTGATTTATTTTTTAAACATGTTATATAGGTGGCAGGTGCCTTTAGTTTGATAAATTTGTTAATTTTGCATTATTTTCGATCGGATCGGGATCGGTTTTACTGTACATTTAGAAACATTTCCAAAATTTGGCTCTTCATTTTAATTCATCAGAAAAATATGCTTGTCTTTTATTTCTTTTCAGTCAGTTAACTGTTTTTAAATGAGTGTAACCATAGATTCAAATTTGTATTATTCAAATTACAAATGTCTTTTACGTACATGAAGATTAGATGTAAAACTTCTGATTGAATTCTTAATAGATACTCGGTATTTAAAAAAAGTATTTGTACATGCATTATGCAACAAATGAGAGCAGACAGCTTTCTAGTTTTATTATTTATCTTATTTCCAAGTAAAATTTTTTATTTCCTCAGGAATTAAAGAGTAAATTCTATCAGTGGCGAAATTAAACTTGCCTAAATACAGGAAATATTTTTATGTGTACAGTCTCGACTTAAGCCAATTTTTTTTTTATCTGTCATCTGTAAAGCCTTTTCCTCTTTTATATAAATAAGAAAATAAGTTCTTTCATATATAGTATCATTATTCAAGAGCCGATAAATCGCAAGCAAAAAGCAGGGGGAGGGGGGGGGGTCATGACATCATTATTTTTAAAAATTGGTTTCATGAACGTGAAAACATTTTAGAATTGGCCAACATAGTCACATGTTTAAACTCCATATTAAATATGAGTGTGTGATTGTTTCAATCGCCAAATTAAAAAAAAAAAAATAAGTAAAATAAAAAAAAAAAACGAAATGTTTCACTAAACCATCTTCCGTTTTAGTGCCAAATTATAGTGGGAAGTTCAGCAGTACTTTAACTCAATAAATATATTTTTATAACTTATTTTTCAGGTTTTTTTTTTCATTTTTAATCGTACTTCGGATTGTTTATTTTGATTTGACTGCATAGATAAATATATTTAAGTTTTTACAAATATCATGAAGTAAACATCTCAACTTCGTTGAATTAAGTGTTGCGTAAATCTAAAACATTCATCATTGATTCCCAATTTTATAAGAAATGTTCATGATAAACACTTCATTAATTATTTTTACGCATATCCTAGTAAATCAGTTTAAAAAAATTAGTTCCCAGACATGTATAAAATTACTTATCAAAACGTCATCTAGCTGAGACGACGCCGGTGTATAAAATACATTTTGATATTAAAATATTATTTAACATTTAGAATAATGCACTCTGAAGAGTAATTAAACAGAAAAAGAAAAATCATTTTTTTTTTTTAAATCTTTTTCTTTACACTTTTACGCAAAGAATTTACAAACTTCTCTGGAAACTTGTAACTATTTCATTGTGACGCAATATTAGTCCGGTATATGACGTCACTGATACATCAATGGAAACGTGGATTCAACCTGAATAATAGAACCAATTTTAATCTAAATATAACGTCTGGAGGCGAAAATGAATTATATTTTGAAAATAAATTATTTAGTTTTTTGTTTAATTATTTTCTTTAGTGTATCGATTTTAAATATTTCACTAGGATTCCGATAAAAAGGTGTTGAGCAGATTTATCGATGCCACGGGAGATAACTCTTGCATCGCAAAATTTCATTAAAACGTCCTTATATTTTGCCAGAAAACTACTATCAAAAGTGTTTTTCCCACCGAGTTTATTTTTTAAACAAAAAGTTGAAATATTTCTAGATTTAGTTAAGTGTGAATTATAGTCCTGTTAAAAATGTATTAGAAATTACGGTTCTTTGTTTCTGACCTACATTCAATGGTTTATATAGGGGCATTCAAAAACACAAAACAAAAGGATATTTTACTAAATAAGCAATTATCAAACAAATCTTCAATTACATTATTCCTTTTGGGCTACAATGATATTGTTTTTAATAAAATATCAAATATTCCTCACATTCGATGTGCCGCTTATTAATACAATACTGCCTGGTTTTTCGGTGGACTGCCTCTTAAATTGAATTTATAAAAGAAATATATTATTCTGCCTTAAATCTTTTATTTTCCTAATAAAATGCACCAAAATGTGGTGTTAATATCGATTTACTTATGATTGTGGGTTTCAGTCTGCATTTCCTCTGACTAGCAATCGGCGGTCTTTCTTCTCCATAATCATGCCCAGGAAGTGTAACAAAAATACAGTTAAAAATAAAATGCAAATGCAATTTATCCTATTTATTGTCTTTTATATCTTTTATTTAATTCTTATAAGATTTTATTAATTAAATAAAATGTTTGGCAATTTGTTTTCTTTTTTAATGAATTTCATATGATTGTTTGAGGGAAAAAACACGATTATATTTAACTTTATTTAAATCTAGATTCAAAATTCATGTTTTCCTCATTCTTAGAATATTTTTCCTTGTGTTTAAAATTCCATAATTAAAAAAAAAATCCTTATTGAGAGGTCACACAATATAATAAATTATTTCATGAAATGACGGGAAATATTTCATTATTCCTACAGTATAAATTCAAAATATGGAAAACTTTACCAGTTGATTTTTTTCTGTTGACATTTTACCAAGTTCATAGCAGAAATAACAATATTATCAATCTTTTTTTCCTAAGATAGATGATATAGGCATGTTTGTTTATATTGGATACGGTAAGAGTTACTGTTCTTGCGCATTGCATGACGGGACAGAAAACCCTAATTTGAGGGTATACCCATGTTTGAAGGTTTGACCAGACTGGTAACTCGTAATGAAAATTTGGTTGCACACAATGTTGTGAATATCAGACTACATCTTTCAAAAAATAATAATTCATTGCTTATATTTACATTTTTTAACTCCCTGCCTTGTCAGCAAATGTGATTTTTATATTTCAAAATCCATGTATTATTCTTCGGGTAAGTTACAGTTATTTACAATGATTACCGTACATACTTGCCAATAAGTCAGTTTTTTGGGAGTTAACTTTTGGTCTAAAACTCTATGTCCGACTTATAGGCGAGTCATCAAAAGCTTGGTATTTTTCTGGTCCACAAAATGTAGTATTTTTTACATAACTTCAACGATTATCGTTGAGAAATGTCTGGATGTATTATATTATTTATGTATTCTAAGATTATAAATTATAAATAAAGTATAAATAGATTATAAATAAAGTACAAGCATTTACTAATGTCATATCCTAACATATTATTTGAACACAGGTAAATACATTTGAGTATTGATATGAAATTTATAAGAGAAGAAAAAAAAAAGAGAGGTAAAATATCGGTGTAACTTCTTCAAAATATTATTTGAAAAATGTTAAAACATTAGAGCATTGATTGAAATTGTCCACCGATTCTGGCAAAAAGTTGCACCGACTTATAGGCGGGTCAATTGCAAATCCCACCAAAATAACCTCAAGAATCACAACCGACTTATAGGCGGACTGACTTATAGGCAAGTATACACGGTAAAATGCAACAGCTACTACCATTAAACTTTTCAATGTGAGCATGAGTTTTGATTTTCACTGATGATGTTGCACTTGCACAGCAATTAACGTTGTGACATCAAAATAAAAATTGAATTACAATTATCAAAATTGTAAAATAATTTGTAAAACAGTAAAGCAATGATATCCTAGTATCCAAACATGCTTTATCAATAATTAAAAAAATGAAAAAGGTGAAGATATGTTTTGAATTTTTCACAGCATATTTCTTACAAAAAGTTATGGAAATTCAGGCCAAACAAAAAAATATGTGTGGTTCCAGTTACACCTCCATAAAAATTAGGGTAGGTAGGTAGGGTTTTTTTTTTTGTTTTTTTTAACAAAATGATTTTCTTAATTTTTCTAAATAATACTTACCACTACTTTGCAAATGACATTTAGATGTGGTGTGATAAAATACTAGTCAATCTTGGTAGGGGACACCTACATGCTAGCTTGCTTTGGATTTAACACTAATAAACACTTGCACTATGTTGTGCAAGGGGGCCGTCATTGCTGAAACTAAAACTTAAACCGGAGCCATTGATGGAAATTGGGGAAAATTCCGGAAAAAATAAAATCGCCAAAAAAAAATTTAGGGTCGGGGGTATAAAATAGGGACGGTCGGGTAACCGTAACCACACATATTTTTTTATTTGGCCTCATTAAAAATCATACTAAAATTGCATGTAAAAATATCATGATGTTATCTAGATATTTTTGGGAAAAATGTGATATACTGCAATGCAGAATTTTTGGTTATGCCCATCCCTACAAAATTACCCTCAATTAATATTGTGGTATGATTTCCACTGGTACATGTAACACACTACAAAAATCCTCGCTGAATTTGTAGTCTTCAGCATAGGTCATAGGATTGTTATTTGCATTGGAATCATGTTTATATGTTTAACCTTCATGAAGACAGTCGATGGGAAGTTACCCTTACGTGTGTGAAAATTTAAGGTACACTAGAGTAGAGAATTCCTCTAGCCTATCTACCTTTATGCACTTGACAAGTTGAGAACAAATGTTACTTGTCTAAATTTAATGTTTACTAAGTTAAGAACAAATGTTACTTCTCCAAATTCAATGTTACTTGTTCCACTCTGAAGAGAAAAAAAAGGTAAAACTATTTTCAAGAATGAAGTACAGTTGAACTTCGATATCTTGAACAGGGATAACTTGAAAACAATGGATATGTCGAAGTGATTGGGAAGTCCTTACCACGTATTTCTTAAGTATTTTACTCTCGATATTTTGAAGTTTTTTCTTGGTCCCATGAAGTTCGAGATAACGAGGTTTGACTGTATTATTGTTAATTTGACGTACCGGTATAAAAAGTTATTTTTGATTAAAAATACAGTAAGTACATGTATGTAACTTTATCTTGATAGCACTCATTTGTTAACAATATCCATCGACAATTAACAGAGCTCCCCAGATTGTAGCATATTTTAGTTAATGTTGTGAGAAATGAATTCTGTGGAGATTTTTTTCATTCATATTTACATTATTCCATGGTAATACAATAAGTAAATTGTCTGATCGGACAATTGCATTTGCAGGTAAGTAAAATGAACTAGACATGGACAATCGGACAAACATTATTGTTGAGCCCTGTAGTTGATAATTTGTGACCAATTTTTTGGTGAATTAAATATACAGTGTAACCCTGGTAATTTGTCTATCCTTTATATGCTAATTCTTAATTTTTAAAAACATTGTTACAATATTTTAAACAAAAACATTAATTTAAATGAGTTTTGAATAGAGATACGCTATATTTAGCATTTATGTAATACATGTGGTTAGCATCTATACCCGTATCAAAATACTGAAATATACTATTGTAGGATTTAATAATGCAACATACCGATTATATTGGCAATATTGCATATTAATATAATACCCCTAGTAGTTATCAGTGTTGGTCGAGCACAATTTGAATTTTGGGACTACAGTACATATGTATACTCTTTCTCATATGGTAAATATAACCTTATACAATGATTGTACAAGTTTTTTCAGCTGATGTATATAGCATCCTGATTAAATTCATTTAATTGTAATATTTTTTAGGTCAGATCTCACAATGACTCTGGCAGCAGAAGATTGTATGTGCCCAATATGCATGTGTATATTAGTGGAACCCGTCACTATGCCATGCAAACACACCCTGTGTTACCCATGCTTCAAGCAGAATGTTGAGGAAGCTAGTTTGGCATGTCCTATGTGTCGCGTTCGAATCTCCGTGTGGGCAAGAAGGGGAGCTAAGAATGGCACCTTGGTGAACAAAAAGCTCTGGAGTCAAATTCAGCAGCTGTTCCCTGACAAAGTTGAAAAACGACAAAAAGGGTTAGATGACAGTATTGATGAGCCTGGTGAGAGTGTTAGCAGAATTATCATCATTTTCCAAAAAAAAAATAAATAAAGAACTTGGTTTGATTAAAGGTGTAAATTGACCCTTTTTGTTTTAAAAAAAAATATTTAGAAGCATTTTTTTCCAGAATCATGTGTTTAAATGTTTATATATTTTTTCCAGTGTTCCAGCCTCTGATAAATATTGCTGAGCCAGGGGAAATACGTAAAGAGTACGAAGAACAGATGAAAAGGGTTTGCTTATATTTATATTCATTCAAGAGAGAACCTAAATAAAAATTGTTTAGATTTTTTCTTTTTAATATGTATCTGTAAACATCATATCTGTTTGCTTAAGTGTACCTTATATTTAAGCCAGATATGGGTACTGATCATAAATAAACCCTGATATTTGCTATGTGAGAACTGATACACGTACATGTAAATGAGAATACTTTTAATTAAGTGTCATGATTTTTATAGGCCATTCCTCAGTCGGGACGTTTTATGTTATGTCGATCATGTTCATCTGTCTGTCCATCGTTTGTAAGCTTTTTCTGTGCGGCTCTTAATTTAAACACTATGCATATGACCTAGAATAATCAAACTTTGTCAGCAGATACATCTTGGGTAGAAAGTGAGTCACATGATTAAATTAGGTCACTTTGACCCTTAATCAAGATGATGTAGAAAAACCCTGTCCAGCTCGTAAGATTCATCAAACCTGGTCATTTAAAGCAATATGAGCTGCATTTTTGAGAATTATATTTTGCTGTTAAAAAGTGCTGTTACGATAAACATAATAAATCTGTATACATGTAAATGAACCCTTTATGATAAATTAGACTGAAATAATGTATTGAATGTGTCTGAAGAAAGATATCTGTACAGTGTAATGTATAGTATTATATAGGAAATCAGTATTGTACAGGACGACAATAATGTGATTTTGCTTCAATCAAAGCTTAAATTTAGTACTTCCATTGCAAATATACACAATAGAAGTTTATAAACGTTCTTTTTTTCTGTCATTGAAATAGTTAATTACAATATTGAAACAAAAATTTCCGACATGGAAGTTGCAGCTCATATTGCTTTAATGTATCTTAGTGGGCGTATTACTGTGACCTCTAATTAAGGTGATATGGCCGAATGTGGCAAAACCCTTTCAGGCTTATTAGTGGAAAATATAGAATCATCAATATTGGTATATTTTAAGGGAGATAATCATTACAAATGTAAGAGTATTGCAGTCACCTCATTCAAAATCAAGAAAATATACATTTTTTTTTTCATAATAAACGTTTATATAACAATTTATATATTTCTTTTGTTTGTAACAATAATGACTTAAATTTCCAATTGTAACTTACCCACAAAAATTCAAAGACTTGACAAGTATAAACACAACAGATAAATTCCACTTGTCTCATGGGAAGAATGATCTAAAGTAAATTAAGTAATAGTGTTTCAACCTGCATTTGGGCATTTTGATAAGAGTAAATTGCATCTGACATGTTCAAGATTAATGAGTACAATAGAGGAAGGCTGTCTAAATCATTTCAATTTAAGCATATCTTATCAAGCAAGTGTTATCCATATCTCTCAGAAATTGGGCACAGGAATTAAAAATATGGCCTGTTGATTGCAAATTATAGCATCTGTCAAATTAGAATAGTTCTTGATGGCCAGCATTTTTTTTTCAAAGTTGTTTTGGTTTAAAATTTGATGTAAATATTTTTTTAGTGTAATATTTTTTTTTCAACAATCAAATTGCAGAGTGTCATGTCTCAATAAGATGGCAGATAATTGCAATTAAGTTTTACTGTCTAATAAAAAAACATAATGATTAGTATTTTCAAATTGATGTTTTATTAGGTTGTGGCATTGTTCATCATTCATAAAAAATACAATGAACACAGGCAACTCCAGCATAATCCAGCATAATCACATGATAATCAGCTGTGAAACATACAATGTTCTATTTGTTCTGATTAGTAACTACAGCATAGGAGATGCACATCAAACTTTAGAAATAGAAAAATCATTTAAATCTATGTACAAGGTTGACATATTTTCTTCCATGCACACTCATCTATTTGTGATGAACAGTATTTGATGGGCATATTGTGCTGTGGCAGTGCACTTTATATTCATCTTAATTTTATTTTTCAGCTTGAGGCACAGAGAGAGGAAGAGAGGAAAAAAGAACAAGAGGCAAGTGAGGCCCTGATTAGGCAGCTAGAGGAGGAAGAAGCGAGGAGAAGGGAACTAGAAAATAGGGACAGGGAACTAGCTAAGGAGATTAGTCAAGAGGTCAACCAGGTTAGGATCTCCAAAAGAAAATGATAAAATTTCCAAATCTTAAACCACATGTTTAGTGTGGTTTCAGATATTGTAGCCAGCATACTCTGTCCTTGGACCTTCGACAATTTTACTTAACAAGAAATCCTTTGTTCAGTTGCAACCCATGTAAAATAATGACCCCCCCCCCCCCAATAAAAAAATTAAAAAATTAAGTAGGGTACCTTTGAAAGAAACAAATTATTAAAAAAAAATTGTGTGTTAAGTCATTTTCAGGGGTGTGCAATTAAAAAATTCAAGTACTAGCCCATGGGCTAGTGGCAGCAATAAGTTACTAGCCCCAATTAAAAAGTTACTAGCCCAAATACAGAGGCAAAAATTAAAAACTAATATTGAAAAAAAAAGTTAATTGTTGTAAAAGTCAGGGTACTAAGGTCATTCTTTTTAAAATTAAAGTTTAATTTTGCTAGTAAAATTTAATCATATATAAATTAATGATTATGATAGAAAATAAAAAAAATTAAATCTTCCCTTTTTCTGATCATTGCACTAGCTCATCTAAAATAAAATAAGAATCATTTTGTTTTCATCTTAAATCATTAAATACATGGAAACGTATTTTATGTTAATCACATAACACTTATCTTTCAGTTGATTGAGTGATCTTAAATAATTTAATGAGATATCTGTTTTACCAAAAACAAAGGAATGGAGGAAATTCGGATTAGGAAAAAACGATCGTTTTTGAAGTAAATAAGTCAAGCCGTACTGCAAATGGATAAGATTATGGAGATTTATGGACAATAGCAGCATGCTGCCTGGAAAATTTTCACTGGTTGGAAAACTTAATAGCAAAAAAAATGAGTGAAAATACCGGTTGTGCTTTTCATGTATTACATGTGTAGTTTTAATTTCTACTAGCCCAAGGGGCTACCTGCATGCAGAAAACCACTAGCCTGACCCCCAAAAATGGTAGCCCCGGGTGTTGGGCGATACTAATTGCACACCCCTGATTTTATGTGAAGTCACGATAAATTAAAAAATCTGGAGAAACAAAAAAGTTAGTAAATCTTCAAAATTTTGAAAAAGTTCCCATGTAGAAAATGAAATGATATCTGTTGACAGTCATGTGGATATAAAAAGTAAATATTTTAATGTAACAGATTTTTTGATTTTCATCTAGGTCGCATACTCACCCGTAGGGCATGGTTCAAATAATGCATAGCACTTATAATGTATAGCACTTGCCAATGGGGTTAGTAAATAGGCAATGTCGATTGAAAGAAAAGTAAAGTTTACAATATACTCAAAGCATATTTTTTTTTTTTAGTTTTCCTTTCTTATTTCCTTATTTCAGTATTAATTCTGTTATAGTAAAGTTTTATAGGGTTAGGTGGTAGGCCCATAATTAGTAGATAACTTATGTTTTATGTTTCATTACAAATTCTAAATTCAAAGTTGATCATTTTTGAGTCGGCTCGCAGAGCGACTCATAGGTATCACAGCTGTAAGTGTAAAAATTATCACTCATTCATCTAGGTGATTCATACACCAAATAAGATAGTTCTAGCAAAAAATGCTTTTGTTTGAGTGATTGCTTAAACTTAGGATGTATAAACAGTATAAGATTTCATATTGGAACATTATTTATGTCTTCAGTTTTTTTAAAGAAAAATTCGATTAAATATCTGTACAATGCATGTACAAATACTGCGTATGAATATACTAGTATGTGCAAGCATGTAAGGCGGATCTTATCTTCCCCTCTGAAGTTTATTTATCATTGACCTAGAATACTCCCTAACACACACATCTGCTGTTCTCATTCACTGCAGCTAGTGTGCCTGAAAAATCTATAGTGTGGCTTAATTTATTTTTAGAATCCAGGTTTGCAGTGCTGCTTTCCACAATGCTATATTAAATTATTATATGTTACTTAACATAAACATAATCATAATGCTTAAATTAAAGTAAAATTGTGTGAATACATGTATATAGTTAGGCGGATCTTGAAAAATTTTCCCATAGATATCTAATGTTTGTTTTCCATTACTTGAGGTTGTTTTTAAGTTATTTATCTTAGGTTTAAATGTTAATTTTTTTCCATGATACTTTTTCTCCCTTTTTAACATGACTTTCCCTTTTCCCCTTGTTTTTATTTCACATTGTATTTTTTTCTTAATAGAACACTGAGATCTAGTAAGATTTATGATAATTATAATTAAAAAATACTGAAGAGAAGTTTTTTAAAGAACTCCTTTGACTTAAAAAGGTGGGAGATATTAAAACCCTTAACCTTTATTTACTTGGGGGGGGGGGGGGGGGGGTGTAAATTGAGACCCGTTCAAATTTAAACAGTTGTATTTTGGATTCCTATTCAAAATGTTGTTATTTCTGTTACATTATGTAATCTTATTTGTGTATTTACAAACCCAAACTTTAAATAAATATTAAAAATCTCATGTGAGATGGGATAGAGGCCCTTAATTTTTTAACCAATCATGGAGACCTGATATTCAATTTCTTAAGATGCAATAAAAACTGAATATAAGGCATGGTGACATGTTGTATGAAAAAGCTCAATAAACTCGAGCGAGTCGACTCTCAGGCCCTTCAGGCCTTTGATTTCATACTGCCATTTTGTGGGGGCATATATGCTTCTAAAACATTTCTTGTTGCTTTTAAATTTGTCAGAATAAAGGTGAGCTAAACTACATATAAATTAATGAAATATTTCCATGAAGTTCAAGTTTTAATTGTGAATATTTTATTTGCAGAGTATTAATGGTGATGATTCTGTTGCCTTTGTTGGAGACGATGCAGTACAGCGCCAGACTCGCAGCACCTCCAGTACCTCCTCCTGTAGCGCTTCTAGTAGCAGACCTCCATCAACCATTGATTCACTGCTCCGAAAAATGAGAGAAGCAGAAAAATTGAAAGCAGTAGATGTGGCCAGCAGACAGGCATCTTCACCATATCCTTACAAATGCTACAGTCCAACAGAGAAGGCATCTAAGCAGAAGAAAGGGAAGGAAAATGGTGCTGCCTCCCCATTTCTTTATAAATGTAATGATTCTGCAGAAAAGTTGAGCCAGGGGAGAGACATAGTTTCTAGGAACTTGTCGTCTGCTGGACTTTCCTCCAGAAGCTGCACCAGTGTGAGTGAAATGGGAAATGCTGAAGATGATGATGATGACGATGAGGATCTTCCATCAAAATATGTCTCTCTTGGTCTTCCATCACTGGAGACTGCCATAGGTAATATAAGTGACCGTTCTGATGGTGAAATATTTGACAAAGACTCTGTTGAGGTGATAGAGAGATGTCGGAGTTCTGAGAGTATGGACAGCATTAGTCAGGAGATCAGTCACTTTCGACCAATCAGAGTCTGCCCTCTCACTCCACCACGTAAACTTCCCAGCGGAAAGGTTGTCGAGGCGCCACTAATCCGTACCACACCAAGAAACTTGAGTAAAACGGAATTTGGATCTCCAGTCCGGACTCTCTCTGATCTGGATGCTTCCAGTCCAATCATGCAGAGAAGGTTATCCGAATTGGAGGAGGAGAGAAAGACAAATGTTAATAAGTTGTCAAAGTCTACAAGTACAGAGACTAAAAAAGACACCAAAAAATCCAAGGTGGTGACTTTGACTCGTGATCACGATTACAGTGGGACTAATAAAGGTAACAGTGATCATGATTACTCAGCCGTGGTGATTGACCTTGAGGCAGACAATCCTGAGGACTCGTCTCTTAATGAAAGCAAGGAAGATTCTGGAAATACGGAAGAGAAATCCGATACAAACAAATACAAACTGAAAAAGCTTGTCATTCCATTGGAACCTACATTTAATGATAATGACTTTGACATTCCACCTATGAAGGAAAACAATCCGCAGAGAATAAATAGTGATACAATCACAGTTGTGGGAAAACAATCACCGATTCTAACAAAGAGTAAAAGTGAGCAGGATACTAGTGTGCGGAAAAAAGTGCAGAAATTATCTGGGAAAGCAAGACTGGCATTAAGTAGCCCTCAGCGGACGATTACTGATTGGATCAAACAGTCAGCAGAGTGTAGTGGACAGAACAATTTTCATATGGAGCCCAGTGGTAGGGATGATGTGGACGGGGAACCAGTCCGTAAAGTTAAGAAAGGACAATCGGTCAGTGTGACCCCATTAGGTGACGGCCTGCGAAGAAAGGAGAAACGACACAAAAAGGTTAAGTCATATCCGAAACGTGAAAGAAAACCGTACAACCCAGACCCCATGTGGACGTTTGTGAGTGCAGTGCACAAGAGCCAACATGTGGACATGGATGAAAGTTCAAAGGACAGCAGTGTTTTTAATGGGGTGTTGGATGAACAGAATGTTGAGCCAAAGGAAGTCTCTAATCTGCATTCAAAGAAAAGGACAGCTACATCTGTGAATGATGAAAAACCCAAGAAAAGAAGGAAGGTCACAGAAAAGACAACAGTCAGATCCAAACTAAAACAGACATCATCCAAAGCTAAACTCAAGTCAATCCAACATTCGCAGGCAAAAAATCCTATCCTTAACTTCTGCTCGCAGTCAAATTTAAAACGGGTTAAGGATGCCATTAAAAATAACCAGTTAGTAGATGAAGAAGCCGATTTTAGAGTAAGCGATGGGGAGAAATTGGACAGAGAAACGCAGGAAATGATGGACAGAAAATTAGCAGAAGAACTTGCTAAGCAGTATGAAATGGAGGTGAAAAGTGGTTTTCGATTTTTCAAGCTGAAGGGAACTTCAGAAGAATACAATTTCAGGCGGAAACCAAAACTCTCCACCTGATTATTTCCCCTTGAATCTTTAGAAACTGTGCAATCACACAGTGTCATTTTATTCTAGTATGTTGGATATGATGGCCTTATCAGGTTAAAGAAAGTGGCATTTTTTGTTTTTCATTTTTTTTTTTTTCAAGGCAAACAATTGGTCTAAATGATACACACTATAAATGAATTTTCCATTCATTTAATGTTTAGTTTTACTGCAAATTTTGAAAGGCTCATTCTAAAACATAAGCATATTTGAGAACATTAAAAATACAAGTAAATCAATGTTTTTTCTTCGGTTTTAAATGAATTATTGATTAATAACCAGTGATTAATGGGTTGTTTTAACTCTGTTCAGTCTTCATAGTTTTCTTGCTTCTCTTTGCCTTTATGCTTTTTGTCCCTATTAACAATAAAACACACCTTGTGTCACGAAAAGGCAGTCAAGTTTATTTATTCTACATTATTTGATTTTTTTCTACCCCATGTTAATGGGAGAACATAAACTGAAAGTAAATATGTAAATCTAGTATTTGTGACAAGTTTCTGGAATTCGTTATCAGAAATGCTTCTTGGGTTATCAATTTGATAACCAAAACCAAGTAATTTCTAACACTGTATTTTTCCAATAAATAAGATTCCAAATACAAAATTGGTTTAAAGAAAAGTGAAGGCATTAAGCCAGAGAAAATAGTAATTAGTGCATGATAGATAATGTGTACATGTAAAAGCTAAGGTTTATGCTTAAGGAAAATCTCCATAAATCATGTCATGTCTATATGATGCTTCAAATATTTTATGCAATATAACTAGTAATATATTTCTTATTTTTTGTAAATATGTGATGTTTTAATTAAAATATGAAATATAATACAGAAAAAAATTAATGTATGTATGTGATCCTGTATAGCAGGTAGCAGAATCTGTGTACTTGACAAATAGTAAATTCATGTAGAACAAGTATTTTTATTACATGATTTAAATTATTTTGACAAAATATTAGCATTTAGATTTTTGAAGTCCATATTCAATCAAAAAAATTTCCTGTTTTACAAAGGAACTTACGACTAAGACAAAAACTTAAAAATTAGTTGAATGTTAAATCTTGCAAAGTGAATGATTCTGTTAAAAATTGCTTTCATAATGATATGTAAATTAAAAAAAAAAAGATTTTAACCATTTTCAAATTAATAAAAAACTAATAAAAAGAAAGTTACATGTATTTTGTCTTAAGTCATTTGTTCTTTTGTAAAATGGGTCCCATGTCTTTAGTCTTGCTTTATTTAATTTTTATATTTATTATTGATTTAAAGTTGAAAATTGAAATCTGACTTGGAATTCACAGTTCCATAAAGCCCCTGCCATTTGATGTACCTTAGAAATCTCGCTGAAAATGTTGTAGTTTTATGTTTAAAAATACAGTTGAACTTCGGTATCTCGAACACTGATATCTCGAATATCATGGATATATGTCAAAGTGATTTGGAAGTCCCAATCGCTTTTCCCTTAAGTTTTTTACCCTGGATATCTCGAACCCTTGGATACCTCAAAGTATTTTCTAGGTCCCATCGGGTTCGAGATAACGAAGTTTGACTTAAATCCTTTTTTAAATAATTTTATTGATTCTGTATTTGCAATAAAATAAAGAATTAATTTCCTGTAGTTTTTTTTTTTTTTTTTTTTTTTATAATTTTTGTAAGTTTTAAAAAAAAGTATTTTGTATATGTTATAAAGAAGATAAGCAATATCTTATGCTCTGCTCCAGTATATATTTCCTGCTTACGCAAGGTTTCCTATGATTTTCATCTGTTTAATGGCCATTTTTGTGTTCTTGTTAATGACTTATAACACTGTTGACTTGTAATATACATTGTACAGATGTACTGTTATGCTTATTAAATTGTTGGCAACTTTTGTAATGATTAAACTAAAAATTGATTTTAAATTTTGAGGTTGCAGTCTCTTTATATTTCTTATGGGGAAAAAAACCTACTGTTGGTCAAATTCATGGCTTTTTCTTGCATATAATGCAGTTCATAGGGACCCTACTGAGAGTGTAAGTCCAGAGAGAGAGAGAAAGACAAGTGGCAGGCCATATTGCAAGCCTAAAACCATGTGTATACAAAATAAGCAGATATTCTAGGGTAGAAAAACGGAATGTTGAAACTCTTATACATAGTAAACTATGTCCTCAGTGCAGAAATGGATTGTAGAACTATAGTATTTTAACAGATGACAAACATGATTGTGATCATCTATTTAACATAATGAGATCCTCTCTTGTGACCATTAACTATTGTTAATAATTTTGTTCATTACCAAAATGAACAGAATATTGAATATTTTTCATAAAGGGTATCTTCTTTGACAAATTTCTTTGCAACTGGTGAGCTTCAGTGACCTGCACTTTAAGCAAGCAGCAATAATTTCTTTAACAAAATTGAACACAAAACTACATCTACTTGAAGATGCATTTAGCTGCATCATCAAAATATGACATCACCCATGACTGTTGTCTGTTGGAAGTACTTTAAGGAATATTTTATCCTTGTGTTGGTCAAAGAATTTTATTCCTTCATTGGGCCTGCCTTATAATTTACATGTATTTGATCAAAATTGAATCTACACTGCATTAGGCACTCCTTTCCAAGAAATGTCCAATTCCAGACTTCCTGTTTGGAGATTTCTAGAGGTTAAAGGAGACTTCTTACAAAAAGTCACAATATGTTCCCCTCTGTCTCAAGGGCCATAAAACTAAAACGAGATAATTTTTTATCTTGGTCTCACTTTCACACAAGGATGTATAATGGAGAAGTGAGACTGAGGTCAAAAGTGAGCTCATCTAAGTTTTATGGCCCTGGCCCCAGGGCCATAAAACTTGGCAAGCACACATTTAATCTCAGTCTCACTTTTCCACTGTGAATTCTTTTGGTAAAAGTGAGACTCGGAGATCAAAAGTTTTATGGCCCCAGAGCCTGGCGCCAAAACTGGAACTTTGACTGTGCCTCAATTCTTAACCTTTCAGGTCAAGATATTGATAATCGTTGGACTTGCATGTACATAATTTTATGAAGTTTTTTTTAAAAATTTTTATGGTACGTCATGTAATATCAAGAAGAAAATTTACATCAACTTGCCCCCACTTTAAATACTTTATTTTATTTTGAACTTTTAGTTTGGACTAGGATCTTATAATTCAATATGGACCTTCAAGGAAGAATGCTTTAATCATTTTTGCTTTATATTGACATTATGATTAATATGGAAAGTCTGCTAAAGTAAATATAATAGGCCAACTGTCCATGTTTGCTCAGATTAGTGCATTTCACTTGTCAATGTACACTTTAATACATTTAATTACAAGTTGTAAAACAACAGGGCGTGTGCCACACACACACATACACAAAGTCTCCTAAACCCCTTCCTCATGCATATTCACACAACAGAATTATACCAACTGATGAAACTAGAACTATCTTAACAGGACTACTTACCCCATAGCGTACACTCACAAGAAGATAAAAACTTTACAAATTTAAATCCCATTTTATGCAACTTTTACCTTAATTACTCAAACTCCTCCGTGTCATGTAAAAGCATCTGCACTCTTTGCCTTTCATGATCTATAGCTATGACAAGGATTTTACAATTCCATAGCCTGTGACAAATGACCTTAGTGCATGGTCAAGACACACCCTTGGTCAGCATAGTTTATGGCAAAGAAAATCCCTAATGATATTTGAAAAATTAGATCAATAACTATAATAACAAAGTCAAATATTCCCAAATATTTACATTAATTTCCAATGTCTTTGTCCGAGATAAAATTTCAAATAGTAAGAATACTTTATTTCTACATAAATCTACTGGTTCATCGATCGGTGTGGTGAAAAAATAATCACGTGCGAGGTACATGGGACAAATAGAGACAGAAGCGGGGCTTGTAGCATGTAAATTTGCAGAATCAAAAGCATGTAAATATAAGGAATAACTGTCAGATTTTTTGGTTTCATGACGATGATCAATCAATTGGCTTGCGTGATAATTTTATGCATAAACGCCTTTGGCGTTTATGCAAATTATCACACACGCCAATCGATTAATCACATCATGAAACCAAAAAATTAGACAGTTATTCCTTAAATATATTAAAAGGTGTTTAATTCTCTTAGTCCCAAGTGTTAACTTTCCTTGCCTACTCAAAGATATATACATGTATTTTTTAAATATAAAAAATGCAAGATATTTTTCTCTTATTTTATTGATTATTACAATTATAGCATTATAGCAATGTAGATTATTCCTAATAATTGTAATATCATAAAGTAATACCTACTGTATCAAAATCACAACAACAAGATCACACCAAATCGGTCCTGAAACTTTAGTTTCAATCATCACAGTGTTGGCAAAAAGAAAATGAAGACAAAACATTATACAATGGATAAAACTGACATAGCCAATCACAATTAATTAACACTTAGATCAATTAATCAATCAATCAGATAAATATAAATTGTATATCAGGTATGAAGTTGAAAACATCAAATTTCATCTTTAAATTATAGCATTTGAATGTATGTGCTGTCCATTTATTTCCTGATATTTCATTCACGCAACAAAACATACAACACTACTTATTCAGTTTAAATGCCAAATAAAATAGGGTACTTTAATTTTTTATCATGTGCTATAAAAAGTACAAGACTAAGTCATATACCAAATGCACCTATAAACTTTAATAGTCCTGTATTTACAATCTTATACATTTTGTTGCATGGTTTGATATACATGAGAGAAGAAAAACAATTAACAATTAAATGAGATCCACTCAATTTAAATGTTTCAAAGGATTTCATAGCAACAATACTAAACAACAAATTAAAAAATCAGTTCTTTCTACTTAATGATATACATAGTCATAATCATATAGATCAATACTTTAATGTTTAAGAAGTTCTCAGTCACTCAGGTTTTCGGTCACCTACGTTGTAGTTAACATAACGATTAGCATTTCTGCTTAGATTATTAATTTTAATTTATTCTGCTTAATAGATTATTAATTTTATTTTTTTAAATGAAAGAGAACTTCAGTAAATAAGAGATCAGATGTATACAATATCAAAAGAAGACATGAATCAGGTACCCGGTATGTGTGTACACGTATATGAAAATACAAAATGAACAATCTATGGGCCACAATGCTCACCAGTCATGTTTACAAGATAAACGAAATAAATATTTAATATATATCTAGTAGAAA